TTGTACAATAACAACTTTTCTATTTTGAGAGAAGGTATCTAATTCAGTAACTTCACTTATTTTAACGATAGCAATGAAACAGGGAGTAAAGTAATAAATGTCACAAAATCCATGCATTTAAGCATAATCCACTTCTTCAAGTCTTCACTTTGAGTTTATTTACTCTTACTTTATATGTAAGTCTAATGAACGTAGTCATCGGGTCTCCAAAATGAAAGCAGATCAGAAAGCACATTATGAAGGAGGAGAAGGGCTACTACTACAGGCACACTTAAGCAAGCAGTAATAGAAATGGAAGAATCAGAACGACTATTAAAAAACAAAGACATGAAAACTAAAATGAGTACATCACAATGGGGCCATTTAGTACAGGGACAAACAGCTCTCAATGTCTGATTAGTCTATGAGAAATTAATAAGTAACGTTAATGCTGATCATTTTGATACCAAACAAATTAAAATACATTCATATATTATTTAAGAAGACAGTAATGCATATCAATTTTACAAAGATTTTCTTCAGAGATTATTCCAAATGATTTTAGTGCTGAAAGAGGTTCCAACTCTGCAGGAAACTGGGATATCTAGAGTGACTCCCTCCCCAAATATTCAAGTTAGCCAGTTCTTATAGCCATCTGTAGTCTCATATCAATAATTCTAAAACATACGTCTTGATGAACAGAGTTGAAGTTATATTTGCAGTACCATAAGTTTTAAATCTGTGTACTGTACTAAGAACAATGAATGAGAACAATATATTTCGCATTTTCCTGAAATATACACAATTATTTATTCAAAAATGATAGCCTAATTTTTCTTATAGTTGAATTCATTAATGAAGTCCTAGAAACATCATTATTGAAAACTGAATTAGAACTTCAAATCTATGGCAATCACATATAAGTATTTGTTTTAGCAAGTTTTTAATAAGAAACTAAGCAGCAAACACAAGAATGCTAAACAGCCAAATGGGTATCACAAACTCCATGCACTTTACTGACAGAACAGCCCCTTAGCTCTCTTTCAGTCTACTTACTCTTATCTTAGACACAATTCTAGCAAGCTTGGCAATCTGGTTTCTCAGTCCACAGCAGATTAGAAGCAGCAAATTAGGGGCCTATTGCAGGAGGCAGGCACACAAGACAGCGGCAAAAGTGACAGCTGATTATAAGGGAAGATAGAGAAACTGTGAAAAACAGGCATAACTCAAAAAAGCACAGCAATGTGAGGTCATATTGCAAAGGGGTATCTGACATATATCTCAGTAGCCCCTGAGGGTGAGTTTCTATTTATCACCCCATGATAGAAACTGATATTCCTAAAGATGACAGAAAAAGTTAAATCATATTCTACATACTCTAGACAATGTAGAGATGTACTACATTTAGTTATTAAATCATTAAAATGGATTTGTTTTAGTTAGCTGAAAAGTTAACTTAGGCAAATTAATCACCTGTCTATGATAAATGACAGATAAATGAATTGTTACTGGACTTTAAAAAATATTTTCTCTTCTAAAATATTTGTAGCTTTATTTTCTAATTAAGTGTGAACTGCATAGCCATTTTCTTGTGAGTAGAATTGGAAAAAATAAATCAATCTTTATGCTTTGTCTGGTTGTCATTCCTAGCATAATATCTACTTTAGTTCAAACAATAATTTAGCTGACCTATAACATACCCTTATATAGTATTTAGTTCGTTTCTTTGGTTTGGGTATAGAAACAATATGCTATGATTAAACCAAATCAGTTGAACTTTTACTCCCATGTGGTTTCTCATAATTTGTCAAAAATATTTCATATTTTATATTACTGATGGGAAGTGAAGTCACTGGAGTGAAATGACCTGTAGGGTCCCCTTCTGGGGTTCACACTCCGATGACTTACAATTTTGTGGAATGTATCAGAACTTAATTTTTTTTATGCTTTAACACTAAAAGCTTTATATCTTTTCTTATGTAAATCAGAATATTACTTTTTTTCTTTTTAAGAAAATTGTTTTTTGTTTTTTGGTTTTTTTTTTTGAGATGGAGTTTCGCTCTTGTTACCCGGGCTGGAGTGCAATAGCGCAATCTCGGCTCACTGCAACCTCCGCCTCCTGGGTTCAGGCAATTCTCCTGCCTCAGCCTCCTGAGTAGCTGGGATTACAGGCATGCACCACCATGCCCAGCTAATTTTTTTTTTTTTTTTGTATTTTTAGTAGAGATGGGGTTTCATCATGTTGACCAGGATGGTCTCGATCTCTTGAACTCATGATCCACCCGCCTCGGCCTCCCAAAGTGCTGGGATTACAGGTGTTAGCCACCGCGCCTAGCCTGAAAATTGAGTTTTAAATGGACTTTCCTACCTGTAGGTAGACAAAGAGTAAAAATCCTGTCTTCAAGACTGACCTAAACAGACTCTCACATGCATTCTTCCATTAAGTACTAGGTTTGTCCAAGTAAAACAAACTACAGAAATGTCTGTATTAAAAGTTGTTGGGATGCTACTCCTAACAAGAATCATACTGTTAAAATCATTGTAAAATGTGGAGAGCACAATTGTAGTTTTCCCTGAATGTTCCCTCCCGCTCCCCCACCAGAGGGCTTCTTCTGTATAGAGGGTGGTAGCTTTTTTAAAATTATTTTTATTTATTTATTTTTTTTGAGACAGTCTCGCTCTGTTGCCCAGGATGGAGTACAGTGGCACAATCTCGGCTCACTACAACCTCTGCCTCCTAGGCCTAGGTTCAAGCGATTCTCCTGCCTCAACCTCCCAAGTAGCTGGGATTATAGGTGCCTGCCACCACGCTCGGCTAATGTTTTATATTTTTAGTAGAGATGGGGTTTCATCATGTTGCCCAGGCTAGTTTCGAACTCCCGAGCTCAGGCAATCTGCCCGCCTCGGCCTCCCAAAGTGCTGGGATTACAGATATGAGCCACTGCACCCGGCCAGGGTGGCAGCTTTGAAATCTAGTCAAAAGCCTGCTAAGGGAAGTCAAATATTCTTTTTTTTTTTTTTTTTTGAGATGGAGTTTCACTCTTGTTGCCCAGGCTGGAGTGTAATGGCACAATCTTGGATCACCACAACCTCCGCTTCCCAGGTTCAAGCCATTCTCCTGCCTCAGCCTCCCGAGTAGCTGAGATTACAGGCATGCACCACCATGCTTGGCTAATTTTATATTTTTAGTAGGGACGGGGTTTCTCCATGTTAGTCAGGCTGGTCTCCAACTCCTGACCTCAGGTGTTCTGCCCACTTTGGCCTCCCAAAGTGTTGGGATTACAGGTGTGAGCTACCACGCCTGGCTGTAAAATATTCTTAGAAAAGTAACAGATAAGAATACCTACTTATATTACATTGGCCTGTTTTTCAGTATTTCCTATGGTATTCGTAGCAAGAAGAGCAAAGTCCTAGAGAGAGGTTCCTAGAATTTACTGGGCATAAACATTACCTATAGCTCATTCCAAAATGACCAACTAAGAATCTCTGGGAGTATAGTTTAAAATTTGCATTTAAAGAATAAGACTTATTTATTGTGATATATAATACAACCCACTAATATAACTGAGAAACACTGACTTCAAATATTATAAGAGAAAATTAGTCAGGGAATTTCTGCAGAGAAGATAATACTTTATCTTCAAAATATTTTAAATACTTTAAAAGATGAAAACTACACGAAAGAACAAATATTCAAATAAAGCTACAAAATCTTTATGCCATAATTTCAACAAGTAGAGTTTTAACTGGATTATGTAACAAGTAGTGAATGAAACAGATCAGAAAGAAAGACTGAAAATTCTTGATTAAAATTCTTTAGTCTTTCTAAATTAAAAAGTATCACCTTAGAGAGCACTGAATAAAACTGATAAAATATTATGAAGATATTTCCCCTAAATTGGTATAATAAAAATAACATACAATAAAAGAATTAAAAATTATTAAACTCTAATTCTTCCTGTGTAAGGTTATAGGTTAGGAGAGAGATTACCAAGTTTTTCCATAATTGCTTCTTCTAAGTCCAAATAAAAATAAAGTCGGCAAACTAAATAAGCAATTTAAATAAGAAAGTAAACCCTAAGTATTATTGAAGAATATAACAATTATAACACGTAAAGATTTTTAAAACTGAAATTTAGCTATTTCTAAGTGGAAAAGCAAGGCCCAACCTAAGGTATTGCTCCTAAAAGGTTAATTATAGGTAAGTTCCAGGATTTTGGCAAAAGGCAAAATCACTTATAGTACAATAATCTCTACTATTTATATAAAGTAGAACCAAGGTTTTTTCTCAGGTTAAAAAGTAAATTTCCTTGGATTACTGAAATAAAAAAATCCTCTTCGGTATAAGTAAATTTACTTAGTAAAAGTGGTAAGTTACAGGAATTTAAATGTGTTTCTTTACAATCTAGACTCATCATGCAATTTCCTTTCTAGGACAGCAACATAAATTGAGTTATTCCTACATTTCCCCCAAATAATGCCTATAAAACTATGTTATTGCATAGGAGCTACAGGTTTTGAAACTGTATATGCTGAAAATAATTACTCTTTGAAAATGCAATCACAACACAAAACAGATTGGCCAATTTGAAAAGCAGTCTCTGTTAAGAGGTAGTTTGTAAATGAAGTACTAAGGAGACAAGGATGTTTTCCAGGAGGCTGATGGGATGGTTCCTGAATCTCATTAAGGTGGACAGGGGTAGAAAACAGCAGCATTGTGACCTGTTTGTGTAAATGGCACCCAATTATCCAAGGTAAAGTAATACAAGGAACTTTTTTCTGCTTGCTAAATTGGGGATGGGAGCTTGGACTACGGGAATTCCACTTTGACATCATCAGTTTCAATCATAAAAAGAAAGGTGAAAGTGTACTTCTAAAAATGGTACAATGTTTTTCTTTTAAAGATCACTAGGACATCTTAAAATTCACTACTAAATACATGAATAAGGAAACATAAGCAATGTCATATAGCCCATGCACCTCTGAAACTACTTTTAGTACCAAACCCCAGCACACATCAATTGTATGAATTTTCTTTTTTATTCAGAACCCGGATCTTTGTTTTAAGACTGGTATAAACAAAAATAAAATACAAAGAACTTGTTATTAACATAATAGCTGCAGTTATTAACTGCAAGAATACAGTAAAAAGGAGTCATACTAAATGTTAATGTTCTTGCAACAGAATTTTCCCAATCACCTTATGGTAGCAAATTCTGGCAAGAAATAATTCATTTCTTATTAAAAATACTTAAAGAATTTCCAAGATTGATCAGTTGTGCCACAAATAAAACAGCAGTTTATTCAAAAGAGCCCTTACCTTTCTCTTATTTTCCTAAAAGATCTGCCATTTATAGGTAACTACTAATTTCAGATCAGTTATTCAAATCAGGGTACTTCCTGTAAATCCACATCTTAGCTTTATATACAGTATACACTTATATTCCCTTTCCAGTCTTGACGCTAAACACTTTTGTAAAAGGAACAATCTAAAATCACTTCATGTAAATCTTGGTTCTTACTTTTCTTCTGTCTCATTTTTATTTTCTTCTATTATTTGTTCTTCCTCCTCATCGCCAAAAGTCTGTTCCTGCATGGTGGTAAAGGAGAGAGATCTAGCAGCCACTTCTGCAGCAAGGCCGGCAGTGAAGGTAAAATCTGTGGACAGTTGTAGCCATGCCAGCCTCTGTTTAATGGAGGGCTGTAATGAGTCCTTGGGAGTTAGAGGGGCAGCAGCCAGACCACTTCCATCTGCTTGAGGTTCATCTTCGCTCTCACATTGGTAACACATTATTTCTTCTGCTCCTTGGGGGAAGACTTCATTTGCAGAATTATCTTTATTTTTACCTTCTAAAGGGTTTTCACATAAATATTCAGTCCTACTTATTTCATTGTCTGCTGTGGTGGATTTACTATTTTCTTCTTCAGTATCATTTTTACTGACTTTTCCCATATCTGAATTCATTGATGGTTCTGAATTACTTATGGGTTCCACTGGGTCTACAGGAGACAAGGATTTCAACATGGCTTCAAATAAAAAAAAAAAAAGAAAAAAAAATAACTAAGGACCTAGCAATGATTTAAACTTTTAATTCAAACTCTCAGCTTTTTTCTTAAAAAGAACAATAAACAAATAAAAGCTAAATAAAACTTTCTAGTAAAATCAATAAAAATTTATAAATCCAGGACACTTGAGAAAATGCCTAAGAAATGAACTGAGATAGGGATTTGATAAAGGTTTTTAAGACACCTCATATATTACCTTATTTAAAATATTAAAGCAGTGGTTCTCAAAGTATGGTCCCTGAATGAACATTATCAGTTATCACTTAGAAATTTGTTAAAAATGCAAATTCTTGGGCCTGATCCCAACCTCCTGAATTGGAAACTCTGGGAGTAGGGACCAGCTATGTTTTACAAGTCCTCATCTTGATTCTGATACACACTAAAGTGAGAACTATTGTATTAAGGAATGAGCAGCATGGTTTTCACTGATAATATGTCGGATAAAAGGCCGAAAGCAATCTAGATAATAATGTCTTCAACATGTATACATATATATTTACAAGTTAAAACAGCATGGGAAAAATGCAACATACAATTTAACTTACTTGCCAACCACCTAACAAGACCCTAATGAAAGTAAAGCCTTAACTTGTACACATTTTGTAGTACTACAGAAAAATACAAATGAAATAAAGTCTGCATTCAAGATCAACTATTGTACAAAATATAATACATAAATATAATATATATTCATACGGTAGAAGTTGTCCTTGCAAGGAAAATGTAGTTTTATTTAGCCCCTCTTGATGTTAGTAGGCAGTGGGTTGCTTGCTAGGCAGTCGCTCATCCCAGCATGAGGGGTTAGTACAATACAATCTAGTATGAAGCATGACGGAAGGAAAAAAAGTGTTTCTTGAAGAGCTGGCGTGTATTTAAAAACATATTTTTGTAAAACGTGTCCACTTCCAAGAACCATCCCTAAGCTGCAGTAACTCCACTAGAGAAGCAGCAACAACAGAAAAAAAATGGCCACAGCAGGTTCCAGTGCAGACTTTCCCCCTCTAATTCCATTCGGGCTTTACCCCTGTAGGCAGAGATGAGAACAACTCTGGAAGATGTACTGAAATTTTTCATGGGAAAAGCATTCTATGGCATCAGCAGCTTTTTAATTATTTTCACAAACTAAAACAGCATTATTACCCTTTCCGGTGTAAACTATATCAAAAGCACATACCTGAAAAAGACACACATTTCTCTCATTGATAAATCTTTGCCCATAATGTCAATAGCATAATTTTAAAGCTATATGAAGAAAACAAACACTAAACAATAAAAAAGGATATAAGTTTATATACAATGCTATGTTCAGTCTATGTACATTCTTAGTTTATAAATCTGTTAACTCTTAAAGAATGCAACATATATTAGAAGCTAATTGATATTCATGATTATTACTAATGAAATGGGGGGGTATAATCTGTGTAATGAGAGGATTAATTGACAAGTGTGTTAGAATGCAAGCCTTGAGGCAGGTAGGAGGCTTTATGTTTTGTCTCTTGATCTATATGCTAGGGATACCGCAGTAAACAGTGCCTGACATATAGCAAGTATTCAGTAACTACTTGTTGAATGAATAATTTGCTGAATGAATGCTGTGGGATAATAAGGCCCCTATTCAAGAAGACTGTAATTTCATTACACATTACAGAGATAAAAAACAAAACAAAACAAAACCTTGAACATATAGAAAACAGCAGTGCCTAAAATGTATCTCTGATTAACTAGTGCCTAAAATTAATCTCTGACGTATGTAGGCCTAGTATATGAATGAACAGAATGCAGGAAATCAATCTGTTAATCATTTCCCTTCTCTGCTATATGCTTTGCTGCTCAAGACTTTTTTCATATTGCATCACAATGGCCCTCTAGTGTAAGGGTCTATAGTGGTAGGAGAGGTGGCAGAGCTGGAGCACTCAGAGAAGGATTCATGGAGGAGGATAGACTAGTAGACAATCTTGGTGGAGAAGGCAGAATTCTTGGTAAAGGGGTAAGCATGAATTTTTTTTTTTTTTTTTTTTGAGACAGAGTCTTACTCTGTCACCCAAGCTGGAGTACAGTGGCATGATCTCGGCTCACTACAGCCTCCGCCTCCTGGGTTCAAGTGATTCTCCTGCCTCAGCCTCCTTAGTAGCTGGAATTACAGGTGCGCACCACCATGCCCAGCTAATTTTTGTATTTTTAATAGAGACAGGGTTTCGTCATGTTGGCCAGACTGGTCTCAAACTACTGACCTCAAGTGATTGACCTGCCTCAGCCTCCTAAAGTGTTGAGATTATAGGTGTGAGCTACTGCGCTTGGCCAGCATAAATTTTTTTCATGCATAAAAATCACAGTTTTGTGAACTGTAGTTTAATTGTATAAGCATAAGTAGAGGAATCTATTATAGTTAAAAATAGTAGAAAATATACTTGGATAGATGGATTCTTATGATGAAGAAACTTGAAAACAGGAAAAGGAGTTTAGATTTAATACAATAAGAAAGGGGGAACCACTACAGGTTTTAAGATAGAGAGCCAACATTTTTCTCCAATGTTGAAGAAAAATCTGGGAAGAGTTTGCAAGACAGCTTAGAAGAAAAAGGTACTGAAAATGAAAGTCAGCTAAGAGGCTATTTTAATGTATGAGCATAATCTAATGAGGACCTGGGCTATAAAGGGGGCCAGCAGGAAGAAAGAGGAATGATAAAACTAAGGTATCTGGAGAGGGGAGAATGTAGGGCTCCTGAGAGAAAAAAAAAAGAGAACTGGAGGAACTTTGCAGAAGTATAGGTAATCTATGTACTTCTAGTGAGGAAGGAAAAGGAAGGCGGTTGATTTTGAGGGTCCACACAGATAATCTAAAACGGAAAGTCACACTCTACCTACTCAGAAATCCACAGGCATTAATTAGCTAGGTTGATATTGTCAAGTATTAAGCTTCCCCTGATTCCTTCCCCTGTCTCCCATGAAGTTTGACTTAAGAAAAGAAGGGTGAGAAACAGAAAGGAATGTAAGGCGTTTGTATCACCAGCTATCCTACTTTGCTAAAATCAGGGCATGGGGAGTATGCCCACAGTCACCCCCATCCCCTCCCTTCCTGAAGTGCCCAAATAACGCTAATGATGTGGTTCACTGGTCCACCTTTTAATTCTTTTTTTTTTTCCTGAGACGAAGTCTCGCTCTGTTGCCCAGGCTAGAGTGCAGTGGTGTGATCTCAACTCACTGCAACATCCGCCTCCCGGGTTCAAGTGATTTTCCTGCCTCAGCCTCCCGTGTAGCTGGGACTACAGGTGCATGCCACCATGCTTGGCTAATTTTTGTATTTTTAGTGGAGACAATGTGGTGGAGATACCACCACATTGGCCAGGCTGGTGAACTACTGACCTCAAGTGATCCACCGGCCTCAGCTTCTCAAAGTGCTGGTATTACAGGCGTGTGCCACTGTGCCTCAGCCATTTTTTTCAACAGTGAACATGGTTATTAATTTTGTGCTTCACTGAGGTATTTTTTAATATTTTAACATATGGAGAACAGAATTAAGAATCTCAAATTCACTAAATTTGAAAATAACATTTAAAATATCCCAAATTATTCAAGTCACTGCCCATTTAAAAACAAAAAATTAAATAACTGATAAAAAAAGTGTGACTTCATATTTCCAATGTTGTTACATTCCTAATCTTTCATTAATCAAATTGATTTCACATCTAGAAGAAAAAGTGCTATGCATACTGGTGACCCTTATAAAACCCCAAGAATTACCTAAGAATTCTTCAGCTACAATAACAGTCATAGTTCAAGAAAAAAAGACTCCCCTACATTGAAATAACCTGTTACTCTAAAGTCAATGCTTACCGTGATCACTAAACAGAAGCTGCTTCCACTTCTGCCTTTCTGCCTCTGAAGCTTTAAACCCCAGCACAGATTTTAATTCTTGGAGCACCCTCTTGGATTCTTCATGCTCACGCTTCTGTCTCTCTTTGTCTTCTTGAGACAAGTAATAAAAGTCATCCTTTCTGAAATCACTATCAATATCTATATCATCTACGTAAGCTTCTAATTCCTGAAAATGATTACAAGAAAAAGCACTTTACTTGAAGCAGACAGTTTTCTAGTAAGCATTCATTTACTTGCACTCACTTATCTCTGAGATTTAAAAAAAAGGACTCGCATTTGGCACAGGTCATTAAAGCAGAGCTAGGAAAAAAAAAAAGGCAAGCATACCTATAGATAAATTGAAATCTTAAAAACAAAAACAAAAAACCTAACAGAAAAGCACTGTGGATAAAAAAGTTTAACAACTTCAATAGTTATTTTTCTAATTTGATGCCATACTATACACTTACTTAGTGTTACAGCCATTAGCTATATCAAAACCAATCAAAATTAGAAGGTCTGGCAGTTTGGAGAGGTAGTCAGGCATGTTTGCTTTCTTGTGGTTCTTTCTGATTTCCCAGAAAGTATGAACACTCTTCCTAGGATTAGGGAATACCCCACCTTATGGTTCTCCCTATCTCTAAGAGGGTAGGATACTCGCTTACCCAGCCTCTCTTACAGTATAGGCGCAGGTAAATGACCTGAGATCCTCTAATCAGACATGCCTGCATCAGACGGATTTAGAAGTTTGTGATACAAAAAGCAGGCACCTTGAAAAATCCATTCTGGCAGGATGTTGGGAGGTATGTTTCTTGAGGTAGCACTTCTGGAGGTAATTTTTACTACTCAGCATTAATGGAGCAAAAGGTAATGTCTCCACCTATTAATTTAGCAATGATATTTCCATTGTAACAGTTCTTTTGAGTGATTTGGCTATTTACCCTAGCCTCATTCAAGCCTGCTTATCTGGCCCTCTGAAATATTCTGTAAGCTACCTAAAAGCTTAAATAAAGTATCTGTCTGTTAAACTAACTAGGGTTGGTTTCGACTTGCAATTAAGAATACTGAATAGTAATTTGTTATGCAATATACATGAAAAAAAAATACTGAATAAGTAATGACCTAAGGAAAGAGGTTTTCCTCAGAATGAACTAAAGTTATCTTTGTTAATATCTAATGATCTAGTGATCATTAAAAAATTGCTTTTAAAAGTGAGGTATATCATAGTATATGCAGTCACGTGCACAGGATTTTTACATATGCACACATACTGGTAATTGCTACTCAGATCAAGATAAAAACATCTCCAGCATCCCAAAAGGTAGCTTTGCCAATGTACTAATTTTCAATGTGTTCAATCACTTTTAAAAGTCATTCAGATATAGACAAGTAGACATAAATAACGAATAATAAAATTAGCTATAATAAATAACATGTCTGCTGGCAGATTCAATGAATTCAGAGTTAAGCAGTAAAAACTAGTGGTCTGATATAAATTCAATACATTATATTTTGAAGCTCATTAGAAACAGAAAAACAGTCATTTTCACCCTTACCTGCTCCTCAGGGATTGGATCTTTGTCTGCAATGTGTAGAGTAGGAGTAGGTTGCATCAAAGGTGCTGCTGAACAATGTGGGTTTTCACATACTATTTCAGGCTTGCCTTAAAAAAGGGGAGCGAGTGGGAATAAAGATAAGAAACAGGCCACACAGACATGAGTGAACATCTAATTAAAAATATCTTTGGGGCCGGGCGTGGTGGCTCACACTTGTAATCCCAGCACTTTGGAAGGTTGAGTCGGGAGGATTGCTTGAGGCCAGGAGTTCTAGACCAGCCTGGAAACAAAGACAGACCCAAAAACGAAAAAAGAAATCAGCTGGGCATGATGGTGCATGCCTGTAGTCCCAGCTATTTGGGAGGCTGAGATGGGAGGATTGCTTGAGCTGGAGAGGACAAGGCTACAGTGAGCAGTGATCATGCCACTGTGCTCCAGCCTGGGCAACAGAGCTATACCCTGTCTCCCCCAACCAAAAAAATCCTTGGTGCCTTGTCAATTTCATAGTCCAACTTGTTCTAATAACTTTTTATTTATAAAAAAAATTAAAGATACTAAAATGAACAACAATAAATTAGATTTACAACTTAAAGTTTTTAAACTCTTGGAAGAGAGAGAACCTGGCCTTCTCTCTTCACCTGACCACAGTATCTGGTATACACCAGGTACTCTATAAATACCTGTTGAACAAAATATTATTATTCATAGCATAGGAACAGTCTTAAGACCAAGGTACTACAGTATCTGGTATACACCAGGTATTCTATAAATACTTGTCAAACAAAACATTATCATTCATAGCATAGGAACAGTCTTAAGACAGACCATCACTCTTCTTCACAAAATACAAACTTCAATCTTACCCTGAGGCTATTTTAACTTTCAGAAGCTGGAATTGGAAATGAGTTCACAAGTAAACATCTTTAAAAGACCACCCCAGTGAGTTTAACTTTGATTGATTCTTAAAATTTGTGTTTGGTATTTAATGACAGGGTTACTTAGTCTCGTATCCAGTTGGCTACCATTCATCATTATCTTTCTACTTGAAAAAAAAAAGAAGTATGGTTTAAACTTCCTGATTTTTACTTTTCAAAAGTAACAATAGTTAAATGGTGGGAAAAAAAAAGAAGAAATATTTGGGAAATGTTATAAAAAGATGACTAGTCAGTTTGTAGGCAAGATGTCAGAATGATAAATTAATAGAAATAAATAGATAATAAATTAATAGAAAGCACTAATGAGAGACAGACTAGTATGGTGGCTAAGAGCTGTAGAGTTAGTCACAACTGGTTTAAATCCTAGCTCCTGGTGCTTTCTAGCTTAAATTATAGTTATCTGTAGAATAGTGGTGAAAATAATAGTACTATTTTGTAAGATTAAAAAATACATTAAAAATGCTTAAAACAATGCCTGCTACAGTTACGTGCTCAAAAACTGCCATTATTGCTTAACTAGAAGAACACAGATTTCATTACATCAATGCTGACACCATACATTGAGCTCTTTGAATGAAAAGAAAAGAAAAACAAATCCATAAGACTACTGTTAATAGCAGTAAGCAGGTACATTAAACAGAGTGCTGGTAATCCAGCTCTCAAACAAAACAAAACACCAATTGGCAGCACTTCTTGATTTCCAGTTCCCATGGTGTAAATACACCCACTGTGATCAATTTTAAGCTACCAACGATATTAAACTGACTCACAAATTTCTGAATATTTAACAATCTCTGGAGAGCCAGCTCCAGCAGGTAACTCATTTAACAAAAATCTAACGAGAGGCCAGGTGTGGTGGCTCAAGCCTGTAATCCCAGCACCTTGGGAGGCCAAGATAGGCTGATCACTTGAGGTTAGGAGCTGGTGACCAGCCTGGCCAACATGGCGAAAACCTGTCTCTACCAAAAAACACAAAAACTAGCTGGGCGTGGTGGTGCACAGCTGTAATTCCAGCTATTGGAGAGGCTGAGGCAGGAGGCTCATTTGAACCCAGAAAGGGGAGCTTGCAGTAAGCTGAAATCACACCAATGCACTCCACACTCCAGCCTGTGCAACACAGAGAGACGCTTTCTCAAAAAAAAAAAAAAAAGCCTAAAAAATTTTTTTAAACCCACCAGATTTTTCACTACATGCTTCCAGCAATAGTTTTACAAACAGCACAGTTATAAAGTGAAAAAAGCTCCCCGATGACCTTATCCCTCAATTCTTTCTGAAAGCAGGGGCCTGCCAAATCTGCCCCATTGTTCTTGTAAATAAATTTTATACTAGAACACAGCCATACTCAGTTAAGTATAGTCTGAGTGCTTTCATACTCCAACAGCATAGTAAAGTAGTTGTAACAGACACCATACAGCCTGCAAAGCAGAAAATCTTTAGAAAAAAAAAAAATTGCAGACCCTTGCCCTGGGGCAATGTTTCTAAAATTTCTCAAACTTTAACATGGATACAAATGACCAGATCTTATTAAAATACAGGTAGATATAAAGTCAGGGGTCCATTTGTAACAAGCTCTCATGTGATGCTTATATGCTAGTCTGGGGACAACTCTGGGTAACAAGGCCCTAGAGGTAATAAATGTAAAGAGTTTTAAAATAACTTGACACAAACACATACAAATGTGCATACACATATATTTTTGAGACAGGGTCTCACTGTGTCACCCACGCTGGACTGCAGTTGTGCAATCATGGCTCACTGCAGACTCGACCTCCTGAGCTCAAACAATCCTTCCATCTCAGCCTCCTGAGTGGCTGGGACTACAGACATAAGCCAATGTGCTCAGTTAATTTTTTTTTTGTACAGATGGGGTTTTGCCATGTTGCCCCGGCTGGTCTCAAACTCCTGGGCTCAAGTGATCCTCCCTCCTTGGCCTCCCAAAGTGCTGAGATTATAGGCATGAACCACCGTACCTGGCCTGTGATATTTTTAATAATGGAAAACTTATTAACTGGAGATTTTTTTTCTATGGCAATCTCAAGTAATGCCAAATTATTCTCAATAATTTCCTAAGCTTACACATATATAGATATATATGTGTATATATATGTATGTGTGTGTATATACATATATATTTATATAAAATCTATATAAGCTGAGTGCGGTGGCTCACACCAATAATCCCAGCACTTTGGGAGGCCAAGGTGGACGGATCATGAGGTCAAGAGATTGAAACCAACCAAGCCAACATGGTGAAATCCCGTCTCTATTAAAAATGCAAAAATTAGTGGGGCGTGGTGGTGTGCGCCTGTAGTCCCAGCTACTTGGGAGGCTGAGGCAGGAGTATCACTTGAACCCGGGAGGCAGAGTTTGTAGTGAGCAGAAATTGTACCACTACATTCCAGCCTGGCAACAGAGTGACATTCTGTCTCAAAAAAAAAAAAAAAAATTCAACATAAAATATGAAATGATTCATGAATCTGCATGTCATCCTTACATAAAGGACATGTTAATTTTCTCTGTGTCATTCTAATTTTAATACATGTGCTGTCAAACCAAGCACCCTAATCTTGATTTCTAAATGCCATTCTCCATTAAAAGGTTTTACAAGGCATTCCTCCCTCCACCTCCAATTCCTTGCAACTACTCATCTGTTTTCTGTTCCTTTGCCAACTTCAGCGTGCCTCATAAGTGGAATAACATAGTATGTAGTGGTTTGAATCTGACATCTTTCACTTGGCATAATGTAGCAGAGATTCATTCATCGTTTTGGATGCAATGGTAGTTCACTTTCTTTTGTTGCTGAGTAGTATTTCATTGTATGGATGGATGTAACAGTTTAGTCACATCCCAATGTCTAGCTGCTTCTAGTTTTTAGTTTATGAACAAAATATTGATGTGTGGGCTTTTGTGTGAACACTAAATTTTTATATTTCTTGGTTAAATACATAGGAATGATACTACTGGGTCATATGGTATATGTATTCATAATGGTTAAAATTTTGAGGAAGAAAGCATATTTATAGAACCTCAGAGTACTTCTTTACAAAATATTTATCATGAAAGACTTTAAGGAAGAGGCAAAGGAGAATAAAGAGCATGACAACTGAATATCATGCACAGTCTAGGTCTAGACATATTAAAAATATTGGGACTATCAGGGAAATTTCAATGGGTTCTGTGGATAAAATGACAATACTATGGTTGGTGTTCATTTTCTGACTTTGATGGTGTACTGTGGGTATATAGAAGAACGTTCCTGTTTTACAAAAATGCATACAGAAATATTTACTGGTAATGGGGCTTCAAGTCTACAACTTACTCTCAAATGGGTAAGAGTAACATCACCATCGAAAAAGTATACACACATACAGACACACACATAGAAAGATAAGGGAATTGTGGCTGAATGTCAACAACTAGGGAATATGGATGAAGGATACTTTCAACTATTGTAACTTTTCTGTAAGTTTGAAATGATTTCAAAATAAGACCTTTTTTAAAAAAAGATAATGGCTAAAGTACCTGCCTCTTAAAATATTCAAATGAACATTTTTAATTTAAACCTGTGTAGTCATAGCCACTGTGAATGTTTTAGTGAGAAAAGTTCATGAACTATTTGTGTCTTAATACACATCATTATCTATGAGCAAAAGCCACACATACAGAAAATAATTAGAAAATAGCTTATCTTAATTACCTACCCAGTGAGGTGGAGACAGTTTTCAGAGTAATGGTTCACAATAATGGATAAATGATAGACTAAGATTCAACATCTCAGAGTGTGGTAAAGAATGGGTAAATGGGATGCATCTTTCTTTCTTTTTTTTTGAGAGACAGTGTCTCACTCTGTTGCCTAGGCTGGAGTGCAGCAGTGGCCCAATCATAGCTCACTGCAGCCTCAAACTCTTGAGCAGGAGGGCAATCAGCTACTCCGGGCCTCGCCAGGATACATCTTTTAACAACCAAAGGTCTTCTGAGTATTTCTATTTGTAGAATAGAATAAACTTCTGATGTCATATCAGAAAGTTTAATGTGCATAAGTATTTGCAAATATTAGAATTTCTTGGTAGATTTATCCTTTGGAGAAAAAATTATTTACAGTTTACATTTGGGATATTAAGAAAAACTACGGGTAGTATATCAGTAATTCACATGTTAATATTTCCTTAGGAGAAAGTGAATACTTTTACTATCTAATGATTTGTTCAAGCTTGTTTAAGACATTGAAGAAATTATTGCAAATTTAGCTGTAAACGAAAAAAAAAAAAAACAGGATGGTAAAGCACTAATTACCTTTAGCAGCAATGCAAATTCTATGCCTAAGTCTGAGTAACATCATAATAAAGATCCAAGAGATAAATATGGTACTGGTTTGCAGCACAATTTCAAAATTTGATATGCCCAACACGAAAAATGAAATTAGTGAGGTAAAAACAAGCATAAAATCTGAGTCAATAAAAGCAGTTTGATGGAAAATCTCAAGAATATTTTTTTTACTAGTAGCACAAAGCAATCTGATATATTGTCATTAAATAATGACACAATGTATTTAGATTTTAGTACTAAATATGCAGTGTCACTAATTATACCATTTGTATATTATTTTTGAATGACTGAAGTAAGAATTTTATTTTAAAAGAAAAACTCAAGTTCCTAGCCCCAGATTATCAAACTCATTCTTTTATTATCCTAACTAAAAAGAGTTTTTTTAGTTCTAATAATAGAAAAATACTATCAAAATTTATTCTCTCATTTCAGCTTTTTTAAAAAAGAGATATGATTCACTGAACTTTCAAATCATATTCATTTTTTATTTACAGAATGAGAGCCAATAATTGTATTCAGTGTCACTTTGTACATATAAATTCAACACACAAAAAAAGTAAACTAAGAAATTTTGAAGCTAATTTCATCATGAAGACAAGAAATCCACCTAATAAAATCCTACCAGAGTGGAATAAGCATGTCTGATAAGCATATGCCAAAGAAATTTCTCACAGGTACCTTTTTTATCTGTATTTCTTCGTAGCAGTTTGTCGACCTGAGAAATGGCCTCTTCCCAGCAATTGTTGCTTGCTTGAACATGGGGCTGAATCAACTTTAATTTCTGTTCTAGGATGTGATAAGCCTCTGACACTAGTTCCTGCGTTTCTTTAGTACAAACAAGCTTTTCAAGTTCATCTTCAAGAATTATTACCCTGAGTCACAAAGAAAAACAGAAACGGATTTCTATAATATGAAATAAAAAGTTTACAATTTATAAGGCTTATTTTAAAATACATTTAAATCCTAGCACTTTGGAAGGCCAAGATGGATGGCTTGAGCTTGGGAGTTCAAAATCAGCTTGGGCAACATGGTGGAACCCTGTCCCTACCAAAAATACAAAAAATTTGCCAGGTGTGGTAACATGTGCTTGAGGCTGAGGTGGGAGGATTGATTGAGTCTGGGAGGTAGTGGTTGCAGTGAGCTGTGATAGCACCACTGCACTCCAGCTTGGGGGACAGAGTGAAACCCTATCTCAATTAAAAAAAAAAAAAGCTTATAAGATGAAAAACATTCTGGAGTTAGACAGTGGTAATGGCTGCACAACAATGTGTATATACTTAATGCCACTGAACTGTACATTTAAAAATGATGAAATGATAAATTTTGTTATATATACCACAATTTTTTTAAAAGCTTATAAGAATATGATACATTTATTCAACAAAAATTTCTTGCATATATACTAGGCATTTGAGCTTAAAAATAATTTAAGCCCATCTTCTATTTATAAGAAATAACAAGTGATATTACACATATATGTAAATAAAATATATGGACCCCTCACTCCCTACTCCACCCACCCCCTACTGAGCCTGCCAACAATGGCCTAGAGTGCAACTCTTTGGCGTCCTCCCCGCTTGGGTGTGGCTCGAGCTGGTGATATTAAAGACTGGAGACACCACAGACCCACCACCTGGAGCAGCTTGGAGGCAGGGAATAATAGCTCTTCAGGTCTGCAATAAAAAATGGCCTCCAATAAAACTACATTGCACAAAATGGGAAAGAAACAGAATGGAAAGGTAAAAAAGCTGAAGAGCTAGAGCCTGAAGAATTTGTGGTGGAAAATGTACTAGATTGATGTGTAGGGAATGAGAAAATTGAATATTTCCTGAAGTGGAAGGGATTTACAGATGCTGACAATACTTGGGAACCTGAAGAAAATTTAGATTGTCCAGAGTTAATTGAAGCATTTCTTAGTTCTCAAAAAGCTGGTAAAGAAAAAGATGGTATAAAAAGAAAATCTTTATCTGACAATGAATCTGATGACAGCAAATCAAAGAAGAAAAGAGATGCTGCTGACAGATCAAGAGGATTTGCTAGAGGTCTTGATCCTGAAAGAATAATTGGTGCCACAGATGGCAGTGAAGAATTGACGTTTGTCATCTAATGGGATGATTCAGATGAGGCGGACTTGGTGCTGGCAAAAGAGGCAAATATGAAGTGTCCTCAAATTATAATTGCTTTTTTTTTTATTAAGAAAGACTAACTTGGCATTTTTGTCCAGAAGATGAAGCTCAATTATTGTTAACACTGTGTGTCTGTGTGTGTGTGTGTACACACATACACATATATGGATGCATGTGTGTGTGTGTGTGTGTGTGTGTGTGTGTGTGTATATAAAAATTTGTGGTTGGGCGTGGTGGTGCACACCTGTAATCTCAGCACTTTGGGAGGCCGAGGCAGGTGGATAGCTTGAGGTCAGTAGTTCGAGATCAGCCTGGCCCAAATGGTGAAATCCTGTCTCTACAAAAATATAAAAATTAGCTGGGTGTGGTGGCATGTGCCTGCAATCCCAGCTACTCAGGAGGCTGAGGCAGGAGAACTGCTTGAACCTGGGAGACAGAGGTTGCAGGGAGCCAAGATTGCGCCACTGCACTCCAGCCTGGGCAACAGAGAGAGTGTAAGACTCCGTCTCAAACGAAAGGGGGGTGGTTTCTTGGATTTTTTACTTACTACTGTGACAAAATAACTACATTCTAATGAAAATCAAGTTTGATATGTTCATTTTGAAAAGAGTGTTGGAAGAGTTGTTGTTGTTGTTGTTTTTTTTTTTGGCATCAATACCACTGGTTACTTTGAATACATAAAACCTTTCTGTAGTTGCTTCCTTTATCAGAAAAGAAAAAGAATACAATATCATAAATAATTAGAACTATAATTTTGTTTCCATTTTATAGATAAGGAATTAGGCCCAGAAAGTTGGGCAAACTTGCCTAGAGTCACAAAGCTGGTAAGATGTAAAACTGGGCTCAATATAGGCATAAAAGGATAATACCACAGAGAGACAGAGAGTGTTATGAGAATTAAGAAGAAGGGAAAATTACTACCAACTATAAAGACAGATGGGGAACAACTAAGGAAGAGGTATTTTTGAGGTAGCATTGAAGGATGGATTAAATTTGAGCCTATATACAAAAGGCGAGAAAGTGTTGGGATTATAGGCGTGAGCCACCTTGCCCGGCCCCTTTTGACCCATTCTTATCTGACAGAATTAATTGCTGCCTTCCTCATTCCGCTTCTTGCCTTATATCCCAGGGTCAAGTACATTAACTACAATCTTAGCTCTTTAAATTCCTATGACCTTCCTGATTACCAACACAACATGAACCCAACCATTCATTTGATCCAGTCATGCATGATGACTAACTATTGGAGAAAAATTTCACTGGAGATGACTGTATTTAATTAAATGCCTTGATCCCATTTTTAAACTTGAAAACTTCCATGTAGAAATATGTGAAAATAGTATTTTCAACTAATAAAGGTATATCAAAGTAGATCATAAACATTTAGAAATGAAGGTAGATTATCAACAATTTCATGCAAGGTAGGAAATGAACAAAATAAACTCTATGCTCTATACTTTGCTCTTCAACTGGGACCACAAAGCTTGCCCTAGGCTACAAAAAAATTTCTAGATCTGCTATAATTTATTTAGAAAAAATAGCCATATGTTACTCTTCTACTATACATAACAATGCCTCTTGTAACACACTGTTCCAATATTGGAAGAATATTTCTATTAGACTGCAGGTTCCAGTTTAAGAGCCCTACCTTAAGAAAGTTAAAAGAAACTAATTCTTCATAACCATCTCCATTTCAGCTCTCAAAGAAAATGAACAATACCTTCTTTTAGCCTACCTTTCCAAGTTTTCTGTTGAACTCAGGAAAAGTAAAAACAAAATAATGTCCTCAAGTTATAGTACTTATAAATTATTGGGTTTTGCTATATTTGTAGCTATAAACTCTTCATGATCATGTCTCAATTTTCTTTCTTTTTCTAGCTAGGACACAAGCCAACCACCACAATGGTACACAAATGAAGGCTGTTAATTACCAAGACCTTTCTTTGTATAATTTCTAAACTTACTCATTCAGTAATGCTTTCAGATGGAGCTGCAAGCTGCGTACTGCTGTGTGAACATTATTCAATTCTCTTGACTTCTGTTGAGTTTTGGATAAATACTGTGGTACTGACTGGTGCTGAGTTTCAAAGTACCGATAGAACTCATAGCTGCGCTTAAGCTCTTCCAAACAGGCAGAATGAGCATGAGGTAGACCTTGAGTCACATCAGATAAGATATGATGAGGCAGGAGTGCTGGAGTAAGTAAGGGCCCAGGAGGTGAATTGACTGTAGAAAGTAATAGAGTTAATCGTCTGAAGAACTCTGAACTCTGTGCCACCCAGAGTTGGAACAAAACCTAAAAGAAAGAAAAAAGAAAAAAGAAAGGACTAGATCAATAACAAAGATTGGTCAATGTTCAAAACTATAAAATTTGTACTTTATCCTTAATAGTAAATATAACTGAGCTTGAACTACCTTAAGATTAGCCAAGAAAATGATATCAAATATAGCATGTGGGAATTTATGATTCCAGTACAGCAGGTAACACCAATATATAACTTAGTACAGTTCTGCTCCAGATGGGAAGTATTGATGGAATGAGATACATTATTAGAAGTGAATCTTCACTCATTATTTAAAAAAAAAATTTCACATAGGAGAAGACAGTTGGACTAGTGGAGAAGATATATATACATATATATATCTCTCTTCAAAGAAATGGATCAAAAGCTTGGGTTTCAAAATAAGACTATTACCTTGCCTTATGAATTAGCTAAGAAATTAATATAAAAATCAGTCCAGGGCCAGGCATGGTGGCTCACACCTGTAATCTCAGCACTTTGGGAGGCAAAGGCAAGTGAATCACTTGGGATCAGGAGTTCGAGACCAGCCTGGCCAACATGGTGAAACTGCGTCTCCACTAAAAATACAAAAAGTAGCCAGACAAGATGGTGTGTGCCTGCAGTCTCAGCTACTCAGGAGGCTGAGGCAGGAAAATCATTTGAACTTGGGAGGTAGACATTACAGTGAGCTGAGATGGTACTACTGCACTCCAGCCTGGGTGACAAAGCAAGACTCCATCTAAAAAAAAAGTCAGTTAAATACTCCAGAATTTAATGTCCGACATGAGAAACTGCAAAACCTATATTTTAATTAATTAATTTATTTTTGTGATAGAGTCTTGCTCTGTTGCCCAGGCTAGAGTGCAATGGCACTATCATAGCTTACTGCAATGTCAAACTCCTGGGCTCAAGTGATCCTCCTGCCTCAGCCCCCTGAGTAGCTAGAACCATAGGCATGTATCATCTTACTCAGCTAATTTTTAAGTTTTAGAGATGGGATCTCAGTATGTTGCCCAGGATAAAGTCCTTTTAAATACAGTCTAAGTATGTTCATAGGCCCATTCCTGAGATACATGCTGAATTCTGGTAGCAAAGGATTTCTCCAGATATAGTTCTATTCAAGATGAGGACAATATCTCTGAAACAAATGCATGACAAACAATGTAGTCTGAAACAAGAGATAGCGGGCAATAAAAAGAGGATGAAACCACTTTAATTTAGATTCCAATTATTCACAACCATGAAAATAGACATAATTTAGATGGTTTTATTAAATAAATTTTAAAATTATGCCAATAATGAATTAAGACAATTTCATGTAAATCTGTTTTACCATTAACTTTTTTTTTTTTAAGTAAGGCCAAAGTTCCTAGTTGCTACATAAGGGATTCTTGAATACGAATAGGTTTACTTGCAAGTCTTCTAATCTAACTATTAAATTTTATGATTACAATGATTTTCTTTATCCTTTATTCATTCATTCAGAAATAATTTCTCGAGCACCCACAATGTGCCAGGCACTGTTCTAGGTGCAGATATATAGCAGTGAGCAAAAATAAAGAGAGTCCCCACTCTGATGGAGCTTATATTCAAGTATAGGGGCATAGATAATAATCTACAAGTAAAAGATCGAATTTCCCTTTTCCAGTATTGATGGTCCAGGAAGAAAAAGAAAGATAGTGTCTCTTGGTTGATGGGAAAAATAGAGCAAAGAAGGAGAACAGCAAGGAGTGTGTTTGTGTGTGTGTGTGTGTGTATGTGTGTGTGTGTGTATACACATATGAGAGAGGGGGAGAAAGAGAGAAGAAGAGAGGAGAAAGGGGTGGCCAGGGAGGACTCTATAAGTGTCATCTAAAGCAAGTGAGCCATGAGACCATCAAGGAAGAAAGTTCTAAGGAGCAGGAAGTCAAGTGCAAAGTACTGTGGTAGGAGGACACAGGGCACATCTGTGGAACAGCAAGAAGATCAGTACGGGTGGGGCCAGATAAGCAACGGGGAGCAACTGAAGGGTTCTGAGCAGAAGGGTGACATAACCTGATTTATGCATGAACAGACCCATAATGGCTGCTGTGTTGAGAGATTATAGGAAAGTGAGAGTAGAAGTGGAGAAACCAGTAAGGAAGTTACTGCCATAATCCGGGTAAGCATTAATGAGACCACAGTGGCTAGTGGTGGAAGCTGAGCAGCAGATGGACTTTGGATACATTGTGAAAGTAGAACCAACACAATCTCTTGACTGATTGGTATTTAGAGAAAAAAAAAAAAAAACAGCTAACAAGGATGATTCCAGCATGTTGGGTCAAGATAACTGAAAGCATCAAGTTGGTACAGCTTACTGCAACTTTTAAAAAGACTTATTTAGGCCAGGTGCAGTGGTTCCCACCTGTAATCCCAGCACTTTAGGAGGCTAAGGTGGGAGAATTGCTTGAGACTAGGAGATGGGAGACTAGTCTGGGAAACACAGTGAGAGCCCCATCTCTACAAAATATTTGCTTAAAAATTAGCCAGGATGGTGGCACTTATATGAGGTCTCAGCAACTTGGGAGGCTAAGGAGGGAGGACTGTTTGAGCCCAGGAGTTTAGGGTTACAGTGAGCCATGATTGCACCACAGTACATACCAGCTGCGTGACTGAGCAAGACCCTGTCTCTAAAGACTAATTTATTATCCAATCACCATCCCATTAACCACTTAAACCAGAACTCAGAAATGTGTATTTTTTTTCCTGTTTTTTTTTTTTTTTTTTTTGAGATAGAGTCTCGCTCTGTCACCAGGCACCAGGCTGGAGTGCAGTGGCACCATCTCGGATCACTGCAACCCCCGCCTCCCAGGTTCAAGCAATTCTTCTGCCTCAGCCTCCCAGGTAGCTGGGACTACAGGCACACGCCACCAGGCCCAGCTAATTTTTTTTTTTGTATTTTTAGTAGAGACGGGGTTTCACCATGTTGGCCAGGATGGTCTCCATCTCTCTCTCTTTTTTTTTTTTGAGACGGAGTTTCGCTCTTGTTACCCAGGCTGGGGTGCAATGGCGCGATCTCGGCTCACCGCAATCTCCACCTCCTGGGTTCAGGCAATTCTCCTGCCGGAGCCTCCCGAGCAGCTGGGATTACAGGCATGTGCCACCATGCCCAGCTAATTTTTTGTATCTTTAGTAGAGACGGGGTTTCACCATGTTGACCAGGATGGTCTCGATCTCTTGACCTCGTGATCCACTCGCCTCGGCCTCCCAAAGTGTTGGGATTACAGGCTTGAGCCTCCTTTTTGTTCTTTAGATAAGGGAAGCTGCTCTGGATAAAGAGATAGCCATAGCCTATAGGCAAACAGAAAATTTTGATTTAAAGTATTTTACAATGTATGCATTTATTTTTCTAAATCAGGAAATACATGACTTTATAAATTTAAAAAACTAGTTAAAAAGGAAAAAAGAGGGATAAGGACTCCATGCTAGGGACTGATTAAGTATCCCTAACCTCAAAATTTGAATTGAATTCCCAAATGCTCCAAAATTTGAAACTTTTTGAGCAACAACAAATGCTCACTGGAGCATTTCAAATTTCAAATTTTTGGATTAGGGATGCTCAACCTCAATGCGTAATGCAAATATTCCAGAATCTGAAACACTTCTAGTCTCAAGCATTTTGGATAAGGAATATCTAACCTGTATTTTATTCATGTCTCCTCAGGCTACAATTCGGAGGTTGCTTTTCTTTCCAAAGGTGCAATACGTGCCTCAGGAAATATTTCAGATTTTGGAATATTTGCATTACACATTAAGGTTGAGCATTCCAAACTGAAAATTTGAAATTTGAAATGTTCCAGTGAGCATTTCCTTTGACTGTCAACAATAAAAAATAAATCCAAAATGTATTTCTTTAGAGGGAACAATGAAGATAATATAGGAAAACAAAAAGCCCTGAAGCTCTGATGTATTTATAAAGCTGTAAAAATGTCTTTCACTTTTAAAAATTTGACTTACAAAATCCATTTTGAAATTCCTTATCTGAGTAACTATATAGTGGCAACTACAGAAGGGGGCAATACACAGTTTTTGAACATTACTGGGGTTTTCGACAGTTGGAAAAGTCTATAGAGCTCCTCAAGATAAGGCTCTTTTCAGAGCCTCATAAACGTGGTAACTGCAACACAATTATTGAGTTTGGTTACAGGTTAGTTACATGTAAAAATAAAAGAAATATAAAAATACCATTATAGTTTGATTTGTAAAACACTGGGAGTGAGCAAAAAGAATCTAGCTATAACCATCATTGTTAGAAGGTAGGGTAGGGAGACATCAATAGAGAACAAGTCTCACATTTCAGAGCAGGTTATATCAAATATAATTTTAAAAATCAACCAATATTTATTAATTGCTTATTCTACACCAGGTGTTGAACTGACAAACATCTAGTCCTTTGGAGGCAAGCATTGCAATTAACCGATTTTAATAAACACAGAAACAATGGTTTGCCCAGGACCACATCAGAAGTCAAATGATGGCACTAGAGTGAAACCTGGAAAATCTGACTCCACAGGGTCCACAACTTCTCTTTGCTGCTTATACTTAAGCTAGAGTACAATTCAGGCTTTAATACACTTTTAAAACCAGTATATCAACAGCGGAAAGAAACAAAAAAATTTCCAAGGCATCTTGATGAATTAACAAAAAGTAATTTACAAGGAAATGAAATACTGTAATTGTTTCTCCAAGTCCTTTTTAAAGAACAACTATCACCATTTGGGAGTTCCCATTATATGACAAGCCCTATTCTATTTAATATGTCTTCTCATTTAATCTAACACCTTATAAGGCAGGATGGTAACTCCTTTTCACAGGTAAGATAAGTTCAAAGGATAACTTATTCAAGGGCAAATGACTTGTCAGTCAGGGCTAAAATATACACAAAGGTGTGCTCAATTTTCCACATTGAGAATCTCTTAAATTGTACTTTGAAAAAAATCTTTATTTTCCTTAAAGAATAAAGCATGATCAGGATATTGAATTTGAAAGGGAGTGAAATTATCCATAGTCTGACCACCGCAAAGAGTAGCTATTAATATCTTGGTATTCTCTCTCTCTCTCTCTTTTTCTTTTTTTTTTGAGACGGAGTTTCACTCTTGTTACCCAGGCTGGAGTGCAATGGTGCGATCTCGGCTCACCGCAACCTCCGCCTCCTGGGTTCAGGCAATTCTCCTGCCTCAGCCTCCTGAGTAGCTGGGATTACAGGCATGCGCCACCGTACCCAGCTAATTTTTTGTATTTTTAGTAGAGATGGGGTTTCACCATGTTGACCAGGATGCTCTCGATCTCTTGACCTCGTAATCCACCCACCTCGGCCTCCCAAAGTGCTGGGATAACAAGCTTGAGCCACCGTGCCCGGCCTCTCCAAATTTTTATAGAATTTTCACAAGCAAGCTGTAGCTGCTACCCAATGGTTTACCATGTGGCTTTAGCATGACTCATGCAGCATTCTTCTATTGTTGAACTTTCAGGCAGTGTTTCATTGTGCACTATTATAAACACAAAGTGAATAAGCAACTTGGTATATAAAGCTTGACTATGTTTAGAATAATTCCCTGCAGTTTGCAGAAGGGAAATGACAAATTCAAAGGATAAATCATTAAAAGGCTCTTTACATGTCAAATTGCATTCTGAAACAAATAACTTGAGAGAACTGAGGAAAGTACTGCAGCAGCCTAAGGAAGAAATGATGGTGGCTGGGACTAGGGTGGTGAGGCAGGGATACAGAAAAAAGTGGAAAGGTTTAAAATACATTTTCAAGGTAGAAGTGACATAAGAACCTGCTGATAGACTGGATGTGAGTGGGCAAAAAGAGGGATAAGAAAGATGGTGCCCAGGTTTCTAGTTTAAGCTGGAAACCATTTATTGAGATGGGTTAGAATGAGAGTAGGAGTAAGTCAAAGCACATTTTAAATAACAAAAAAGAAAACAAACAAGATAATCAAAACTTTTATGTTGATTTAGAAAATGTAAAATATATGGAAGTCAATACAGTTTCAAAACAAAATGGATCTTGATAAATGCTATCAACAATATGTGCACTATACCCTTTCATGGTATCAAGGGAAGTTTTAAAGACTAAAAACAAAGAAACGTCTAAGGAGAGCTTACTAAATACTAAAAAGGAACTTCAGACACTTGGATCAATGTCTTAAAAAAATACTACTGGAGGCTAGGCATGGTGGCTCATGCCTGTCATCCCAACAATTTGGGAGGCTGATGGGCAAATCGTTTGACCTCAGGAGTTTGAGACTAGTCTAGGCAACATGGCAAAACCCTGTCTCTACAAAAAATACAAAAATTAGCTGGGTGTGATGGCATGTGCCTGTAATCCCAGCTACTTCGGAGGCTGAGGTAGGAGGATCACAGAGCCCAGGGAGGCTGAGGCTGCAGTGAACTATGATTGAGGCATGGTACTCCAGCCTGGGTGACGGAGTGAGATCCTATCTCAAAAAAAAAAGAAAGAAAAAAGAAAAAGAGAAAGAAAAACAAACAAAAAAACACCTACTGGAAGCACTTCATACAATGCTTTTATAATTAGCTTTAACTTTTTTCTGTGCTATTATTTTTCATCAATATTTTTCTAATATTAACTCTAAAACAGTTCATTACATGTATATAACACAAATCATTACAAATTCCATATTATTGAACTTTCAATTTGGTTCCAGTGTTGGCTGCTATAGTATTGTCATGAACATACTTTGGGTATATTTTTGGTTATTTTCTGAGAGAAATCTGTAAGGGCAAAATAAAACACCAGAATAAAGCAATTTTGCTTACACACTTGCATGAAGATTGGTATTCGCCGCTAAAATGAACCAGTTTATACTTTCACCACTGGTGTGTGAGGTCTCCCTGAATCTTCAATGATCATGAAATTAACAACTTTCAATATCCTTGGCAAAATGGTCAGCTTATTATTTTTATTTGTGTTCTTTCATTACTAAGATGAAACATTTTATCATATTTATTGGCCATTTGTATTTCTTCTTTTTCTTTTTAGGCTAGTCAAATGAAGCAGCGGGAGTGAAGAAGGAACAAAGAAGTCTATTAACTGGTTGTGATCAATTTGTTGTAAAATACAACCTCCCTGGGACTAGCCTGCGTTTCTGTTTTTTGTGAATTGTTAGTTCATGCACCTGACTTATCTTCTACAGGTCTCAGATACCTTATAGAGTGCTCTGTATACATAAATAATTAAAACCCTTTGTTATAAATCATTGTGGCTGGGCACGGTGTCTCATGCCTGTAATTCCAGCACTTTGGGAGGGTGAGGCGGGCAGATCACCCGAGGTCAGGAGTTCGAAACCATCCTGGCCAACATGGTGAAACCCCATCTCTATTAAAAATACAAAAAATTAGCCAGGCATGGTGGTAGGTGCCTGTAATCCCAGCTACTCAGGAGGCTGAGGCAGGAGAATCTCCTGAACCCAGGAAGCGGAGGTTGCAGTGAGCCGAGATCACGCCATTGCATTCTAGCCTGGGTGACAGAGTGAGACTCAGTCTCAAAAAAAAACAAACAAACAAGTAAATAAATCATTGCAATTTTTTTTTAGCTTGTTTGCATGTAAAGTATTTATTATTTGAAGTCAAAAGTTTAATTTCTTTTTTTTTTTGAGATGGAGTATTGTTCTTGTCACCCATGCTGGAATACAATGGTGTGGTCTCAGCTCACTGCAACCTCTGCCTCCCGGGTTCTCCTGCCTCAACCTCCCAAGTAGTTGGGATTACAGGTGTCTGCCACCACACCCAGCTAATGTTTTGTATTTTTGTTAGAGATGGGGTTTCACCATGTTGGCCAGGCTGGTCTGTCTCAAATTCCTGACCCCAGATGATCCACCTGCCTTGGCTTCCCAAAGTGCTGGGATAACAGGTGTGAGTCACCAGGCCGGCCCAAAAGTTTAATTTTTATGTAGCTAAATGTAATCTTTCGTGTGGCTTTTAATGTATGAAAAAAAATCTTAAGAATTTCAGAGATATCCATGTTTGTTGCAACAAATGGCTAGTTATAAAATCACTCATATTGGTCTCCAATTAAAGTAAATTAACTTATCTCCAAACTCTAAGGATTTCTTATATATTAAGCATTTTAAGTATTTGGACATCAAAATATATGGATCTCCTCTTCCGATATTTATGATGCTCTTGGCTCTTAAAGACAGTGTTATAACCATCACCAGGGCATTTATGATGATGGTGTGCAGCAAACAATGAGGGGAACAAGTGCAGCATTCATATTTAGAAAGCACAGACACAATCCAAGTGCATATCTTTTCTTCAGCCCTTCCCTTCCACAATGGATTACCTTCAATGCAGGCAGGCTGAAGCCATCTGTAAAGTTATGCGCTTCCTCTTCTGAAATCTGCTCCTCACTAAGTCCAAGTCCCAGTTCCTTAAAAGGCACCACACAGATGTAGTTGGTTACATTGTCACTCTCAGAGTTCAGGGGGTAGGTTAAATTAGGTTAAGGCAATCAACAAAGCCTTTTCATGAAAGCATAAAAGATACAGTGAAATTGTCCTAGATCACATTTATTATTCTGTATTCTGAAATTTTGCATGAGGAGATTTATGGCAGTTTTTAAATAAAAATTAATTTTAAATATCCAATATATTAACATAACACCTCAGATATCTTAGAGAGAATACTTGTGAATACAATTTTTAATGCCTAAAATATTAAAAGTTTAACTCTTCAAAGTGTTAAAGTGGTATTTATTTGTTTATTTATCTGAGATGGAGTCTTGCTTTGTCACCCAGGCTGGAGTGCAGTGGCACCAGTGGCTCACTGCAACCTCTGCCTCTCACGTTCAAGCAATTCTCATGTCTCAGCCTCCTGAGTAGCTGGGATTACAGGCATGTGCCACCACACCCAGCTAATTTTTATATTTTTTGTAGAGATGGTGTTTTGCCATGTTGGCCAGGCTGGTCTCGAACTCCTGGCCTCAAGTGATAAACCAGCCTTGGTCTCCCATAGTGCTGGGATTACAGGCATGAGTCATTGAGCCTGGCCCTGTTATTTTTGACACCTGCCTTTTGAAGGTGTATTGTGCACTTTATTATGTCACAGTTCAGGGCCCTCACTATGCTATAGCAAATACTCTTTTCTTCTCAGTCTGCATACTGCAGGACATCATTAGTTGAATGTTCTTTGAAATACACTGACTGATATAAGTCGCACTAGGCCTGTTCTGTAGACTGCTGTTAGGTTTCCTCTGCCCTCCTCCTTACAAACACTTCAAAATCAACAATGATTTTTCCCTTTAATTGTTTTTCTAAATAATTACATCCATATAATTCTTGATGGTGAACCGTCCTTGCATTTCTAGCATATTCCTATTTGGTTATACTACAATAATCTTTTGATACAAACCAATATTAAATTTATAAATATTCTATTTAAATACTTTGTATCCCCATTTGTGAGACTGGTCTGTATTCTTTGTATTATTAAATACAAAGAATATTAAACTGGTTTTTATTCTTTGTAATATAACATGATTTGGTATTGAGATTATAGTATTTTTATAAGTAAAATGATACAGAGAAACTTTCTAGTTTTTTCTATAGTCTGAAATTTTTTAAAACTTTAAAACCATCTGGAACTGGTAGCTAAAAAATTTTACATTCACTTTGTTTTTGAATAGGTAATATATTCACACAATTCAAAAATCACAAGGTATTAAGGGCTACAGCAAAAACGACTTTCTGCCTCTATTCCTTAACCATGTAGTTCCACTTTTCCAAATGGAAAGGCAACTCCTGTTACCAGTACCTTCTAAGATTTTTTATACATACATACATAAAAGCAAATTCAAATATAAATGTGTATCTGGAGATATGTAGGTATATATACATGCATGTAAACAAACATACACATTTATCACTGTATAAATACACAGTCCCTTTTATGCACAACTTGAAGGATACAATAAATACCGATCCATGCACTTTGCAGCTTTTTTTCACTTAATATAATTTGGAGATCCACAGTAGAACATTAAGAACTATACTATTGTTTTTAAAAAGTTTCATATTTTCCATTGTCTACATATAAACCAGGTGTCTTCTTAAAATTGAGTATTCTTTATCCTATGTCCAAGCTCCTCAAGTTTTAAAATTCTTCCTATGTCAATTTTGCAGATTTTTATTTTGATAAGAAATGAAGCTGGGCTCAGTGGCTCATGCCTATAATAATCCCAGTACTGCAGGGGGCTGAAGTAAGAGGATCCTTTGAGCCCAGGAGTTTGAGACCAATCTGGGAAAAATGGGGAAATCCTGTCTCTACGAAATGCAAAACAATTAGCCAGGTATGGTAGCATGTGCCTTGGTCCCAGCGAATCGGGAGGCTAAGGCAGGAGGATTGCATGAGGCTACAGTGAGCTGTGATCATGCCACCACACTCCTCTGTGGGTGACAGAGCAAGAAAGACCCTGTCTCAAGAGAAACAAAAAGAACCATTTTTTTTGCCTAAATTTTCTTTCTTTTTTTTTTGAGACAGTCTCACTCTGTCGCCAGGCGCCAGGCTGGAGTACAGAGGCATAATCTCGACTCACTGCAACCTCTGCCTCCCGGGTTCAAGCAATTCTCCTGCCTCAGCCTCCCAAGTAGCTGGGACTACAGGCATGTGCCACCACGCCCAGCTAATTTTTGCATTTTTAGTACAGACGGGGTTTCACCATGTTGGCCAGGATGATCTCGATCTCTTGACCTCATGATCTGCCCGCCTTGGCCTCGCAAAGTGCTGGGATTACAGGCTTGAGCCACCAAGCCCGGCTGTTGCCTACATTTTCAAAGTTGCTGCTGTGGAGTTGCACACTAACCCTTACAGTTATTTTAATGTCTTCCACATCCATGGTTACCACTGTGTTCTCATTATTAATCTTGTATATTGCTGCTCTTTACTTTGATCAGGCAAACAAGGGTTCAAAGCTTTACATATCTTTTTTTTTAGACGTAGTTTTGCTCTTGTTGCCCAGGCTGGAGTGCAATGGCGGGATCTTGGTTCACCGCAACCTCTGCTTCCCGCGTTCAAGTGATTCTCCTGCCTCAGCCTCCCAAGTAGCTGGGATTACAGGCATATGCCACCACACCTGGCTAATTTTTTTGTATTTTTAGTAGAGATGGGGTTTTTCCATGTTGGTCAGACTGGTGTCAAACTCACGACCTCAGGTGATTTGCCTGCCTCAGCCTCCCAAAGTGCTGGGATTACAGGTGTGAGCCACTGTGCCCAGACAGGTTTACATATCCTACTGGTCTTCTCAAAATAATTGGTGGATTCTTTTTTAGTTTAATTTATTAAAGTTTCTTGTATGGATAATATGATCTGGTCCCAGGCTACCTCTGAGTCTCATTTCATACTCTAACCTCCAACTTACTGTGCTCAACTCATGACGGCCTTCTTTCTACATTCCAATCATGCTGAATTCATCCCTGACACAAGATCTTTATACTTACTGGTCTATCTAACTGGCATACTCTTCCCCCAGCTCTTTCTCATCATGCAAACCTCAGTTTAAATGCCAGCTCCTCAGTGAGGGCTTCCCTTACCATCTAATAAAAAGCAGCACTCCACCAGTCATTCTCTATCCTATTCCCCCAGTTTTTTTCTTTATAGTAACTATTTTATCTGAAAAATCCCATCTGTCCATTTATTATTTTATTTATCTATTTATTTATTTATTTTACTTATTTATTTATTTTTGAGATAGGCTCTCACTCTGATGCCCAGGCTGGAGTACAGTGGCACAAACACAGCTTACTGCAGCCTTGCAAGGAATACTGCTGCCTCACCCATTCAAGTAGCTGGGAGTGCAGGTATGTGCATGTGTGCCACCACTAATGCACTAATTTAAAATAATTTTTGGAGGTGGGGTTAGAGACAGGGTCTCACTATGTTGTCCAGGCTGGTCTCAAACTCCTGGGCTCAAGTAATCCTCCTGCCTCAGCTTCTGAAAGTGCTAGCGTTACAGGCATAAGCCACCACACCCAGACCATGTTTTATTGATTATTTTATCTACTACAAGGTAAGCTCCATGAGAATAAGAATCTTGTCTATCTTGTTCACTGCTAGGTCCCCAGTTTCCAGAAAAATGACTGGCACAAAGAACTCATATAATCTGTAGTCTTTAATAGGCTAGCCCTCTCACTCCCTAACCCACATTGAACTACAAGCTCCGTAAGGCAGGGATCATGTCTATTATGTTTATCACTGTATGTCTAGTGAATAGCATAATGCCTGGCAGTCTGTGCTCAATAAATATTGACTGAATGACCAACAGTTCACATGCCACACTGTCATATCTCTATTTCTTTCCATATGTTTTTGCTTCCTTTTACCTAGAATGCAGACTCTTACCATCCTCATGGCCAACTCCTATTCACCCTGAAGCTCGACTTAGGTGTCACCTCCCTGAAAGCCTTCTCTGACCCCATAAGCCGGGTATGTTGCCCTGCTATGTTGGAAGGCACCCATGGCATTTATATCACATTATGAATACTAATTTCTTTATTGATCACATTCAAAAGTCTTTAGAAGTAGGTAGTACATGTTTTTACTCAGTTTTCCTAGCACCTGGAAGAATGATTGACCTATAGCAGGCCAGCATTTAGGCAATGGGGGGACAAAATGAGCAAGTTCTTGCTAAAAATTAAAATGCTTTCTCTCCATTATATATATGTGTGTGTGTGTGTGTGTGTGTGTGTGTGTGTGTGTGTGTGTGTCTCCATTTTATATATATGTGTGTGTAGATACATATAAATATTCTTCATATGTGATATTTCCATATACATATATAGAAAGAGAGAAAGAGAGAGAGAGAGAGAAATGGTTTTAAGTCCTAAGTCCTACAGTCAAGACACAACTTCATCTGTTAATAGTTGTATTATATCACACAAGTCACTTAACCTCTATTTTGGCTTTCTCATAAAATGGAGATAAGAAAATCTAGCTATAAAGGGACATAGAAGGATACGATAGAATATAAAGCACCCTGTAAACCTTAAGTATTATATTTATCAGTGCTGCGATACCCAGCATCCTGAAGTGGCAAAGTTGTCTTTTTGCCTTCTATTTAGTCAGAATTTAACTTATCTACATGTCTTTACTAACATAAAGCTCTTATATGCCTTTATTTTCTGGCTAATAGAACAAATTTCCTATTTTAATAAGTTTAAGCGACAGACTTATTGTCTTGTAGTCTCTGAGTGCTTACTATAAATGCTAGATGCTATCTGATCACTTTACATGGATTAACTCATTTGATCCTAACAAAAATCCAATAAGGAAGATATGTTATTACTGCCATCTTGAACATGAGTAAAGCAAGGTACAGAGAGGTTAAGAAACGTGCTTAAGGTTACTAATAACTCCACTGATAGCCAGTGTTTGAACTTAGCCATTCTGCTCCTAAAACCTGTTTGTTTGTTTTTTTTGAATAGGGAAGGATTTCTAGTTGCCAGTTTATTAACATGACACGATGCAAATCTGCCAGGTTACGAAATTTTAAAAAAATGTCAGACCTAGCAAAGCCAGGCTCTTTTGACTTCATTCTTTGGATGACTAAAGGAAGAGACTTCAAGTTTTTTCCTTGTTTTTAAAACAGCCACACAAGAGCAGAATTGCTTCCTGTCTGTTACTGTCATTCCCCCAGGAATGCATTTCCAATTTTAACATAGAAGTGATGATAGAAATTAGCTTCAAAATAGCCAATCTCGCTTCACAGTAAACTTTCACAGGATACAACTATAGTATCTATAATACCAGGACTCCAGAAACACTGCTTATTTTCATATATAAACAGAAAAGGATATTTTTTCAGCATATATAGGGTAGCTAGCCTTGCTGCTTGGAAGTTGGCTCTTACAGTTCGGTAGACAGCTTTCCGAAGACCGATGAGATGCTGATTTGGATGCTGTCCAGCTTTATTAAATGGGCAAGCAGCACTGACCCTGTCAAGCAAACTTGAAAAGTAAAATGTGATACAACTGTACAGGTGTCCTAAAGTTTTTGTTTCCTAAATCCACAATTCTATTAAACGTAGAAAACAAATTCCTCTTTCATGATTTTCACTAGAAAATGATTATGTCAACTCAGGTCTCATAAAACAGTCATTTCTGTGAATATATATATAGGGAAACAGCCACTAAAAAAAAAGGACAAAGAAGAAATTAAAATCTCAAAGAGCAAAGGCTTCCTCTGATGTGGGGAAACAATGGATTCTGGCTGAGATATAACAGAAATGTAGAAATATTTATTATGAATTCACATCCTTTTTATAGACACTCCGCTTGCTAAAATATATTAGAGAGGAGCTATTTTATATTCAGTTTTCAAAACCTACATACATAGGAAATATAAAGACCTTAATTATCCACACTTTCAAATTCTTAATATACATTCACATATGTTCATTACATATGTTACTGATCATATTTTGGTCATTTGTACAGAAAAAATACTGTATAGAAATACATTCTGTATGTTCATAAAAGAAGGGCAAAATTATTTACCCACCTGCTGCCACTGGCACTTACCTACTCAAAATGAAGTAGGAGACGTGGAAAGATAACAGGACCAGTGGCCAACAGGGGAATGCAAGTAGAAAGGCAAAGTAAGTGTTACTACATAGTAGCATAGCTACTTTCAAAGCTGTTCAAGAGGAAGCACATTTGATGACACTTCCCGTTTAAGAGTAATGGGGAGTATCTAATTTGTAAAAATGACATACAGTGTATTACATTTCATAGCTTATAGTATGCATGAGTAAATACCTGGTTATCAGATAATTTTTTTCACCTTAGCAGTAATCTTTCCCAACAGTAAAACAAAATATTGGCATTTGTAAATTCCTTATACTATAACCACAAAGCTATAAAACAAGATACTCAACTCAAAACTTTAAAAATATTGAACCACACTAAAATGTATTCAGGCATTAAAAATCTATAAAAAGCATAGGATGATGACTGACAGGCTTATGTTAAGACAAGGGAATGAAGGCAAAAAAGGTTTCAATTATTTGCTAGAGAAAACAATTTGAGGCAGAAACAAAAAAAGCATTCATGATTCCAATATATGGCACTACTGCTTGTGCTCCATTTTACTAAATCAGTTTTAAAACCTAGTTTTGAAAATGTCTAAAAAATTATGATTCAAGATTTATTATTCCTCATTTTTCAACCCAATATCCAGTTAGATAGAGACAAAGGAAGTACAATTTCTTCCAAAATGTTTTCTCCCTGTCCATCATCTGAATGGGTAGAAGGCATAATCTGGAGGTAAATCATGTCTAACTGGCCCACTTTACCTCTTCATGCGAATTCCATGGGTATAGGTAAAGTTGGAAAATGACACAAAGCACAGAATCCTCTATACATGCCTAACCATTAGTTGAACACAAAGCCACTTTTGTTTAACCAGTTAGTCCTCTCAATAAAATAAAAAGGAACTATTATGTATTTTAAGTGTCATTTTTAAAACTTGACATTCAAACAACTTAAAATGTGCTATCCTTTAAGTCAATAAGAAGTAGACTTAATCTAATGGAAGGACAAAAATTGACAGATGCTAAGGACTTTTACACTTTTTTTTTTTGAGACCAAGTCTGTTGCCCAGCCTAGACAGAATCTGTTGTCTCTAGTTCTGTTGTTCAGGCTGGAGTGCAGGGGAGCAATCTCAGCTCACTGCAGCCTTAACCTCCTGGGTTCAAGCAATCCTCATGCCTCAGCCTCCTGAGTAGCTGGGACTACAGGTGCATGCCACCACATCTGGCTAATTTTTTATTATTTGTAGAGATGGGGCCTCACTAGGTTGCGTTGGCTACTCTTGAACTCCTGGGCTCAAGTGATCCATTTGTCTCGACCTCCCAAAGTGCTGGGATTATAGGTATGTGCCATTGTACCTGGCAGACTTTTATACTTTGAGAAGAAAGATAAATTATAAAAATCTGTCTTATGTCTTGGAATTGTGTGTAGACCACAAAAGAGTAAAGAACAAGATAACTACTGGGATTCTTCCATTTCTCTGTTCCATGATTTTCTAGAAACAGCGTTTAACTCAAGATTGTGCAGTATCCTAGAGCAGAAGAGTGAAGGATGTGATGACTACCAGAGGTTCTTCACTCCCTCTTTTCATGATTTTCTAGATACAACTAATTAAGAGCTATGAATGTTCTTTACCATATACTTACTTTATCCAACCTATAGATTGCAAAAGTTATATAGGTTATATAAATTATTAAATATGCTAGCATACAATTGCCATCTGTTAGTGTTTGGCAGGTGTCCAGTGTACTGAAAGCAGGCTTTAGAATCAGATGGAATGGAAATGAATATTTACCATGTATAATTCTATGCCTTTAGTTGTATGCAAAAGCGACTAGCATTGTATATGGAACATAGTTGGTACTCAATAAATGTAACCTTCCCTTTAATAATAGATTAAGTAGCCAGTATATCCTACACTTAATATACTTACAGCTAGGTTGGTGAATATTGAATTTCCTGTAAGAATGGGAAACATCACTGTTTGCATGATATTCGGAGAGTACCAGTGCTATAATATCTGCTAATATTTACCTAAACAGTTATTAGTACATGTCAGGAGTTTTCAAAATGAATTTATAGCAGATATGTTTATCATAAAAAAGGCATTTGAAAGGGAGTAAAGGGAGCAAGCATTTACCGGGTAACTATTGCATGTTAGGTTCAGTATTAGACACTCTATATATATTATCTCATATAATCACATGGTAACATGCAGAAATACTCATGACTCCAAAGTACTTTAGTTTCTCAAAGTAGATAAGCAGAATCATACTACATATTAAATCTAGCACATAATATATTTATTCCTTCACTTAGCAGTTAATTGACTTTAGTAAATACTAAGGAGAAAAGCATTTCTTTCCGATAAATGCAACAGAGAAATGAAAATAGGTAATAAATATTCTCCTTTATGGAGTAGAAAATAATCATTTAAGAAATAAAATAAAAAATGAACTCACAGTGTAAATCCTCTGGAAATCACTTCGGTTTCTTGAATGAGACGTAAAGCTTTTCTCACGAGGTTAGTAAAAGCTCGGCTGTTTGTGGCCATATCTTCCAAATGAACACTGTGTTTTTTTAGGGTCATTTGTAGTTTGGCTGTCCTCCATAGTCTCAAAGCTCTTATGACCAAATACACAAATAGAATCACTCCCCATACCAGCCAGGAAGACATAATCCACCAGGTGGGAAGCATAACAAGCAAGCTAATGAAGGCAAATAGCATTGAGACATCCCTGGGAACAAGAAAGGAAGAAAATGATAGTCATCAGATTAGAGAAAGAAAGGTGAGTTACTTTAAATCATAAAAGCAAAATTTAAATTTAGGTTTACTGAAGAGATAAAATGCTAGTCTCTTTGTAAAGCATAACTTAAAAAAATACAACATTTAAGAAGGTGATGTGAAAGATTCTTAAAATTCCTCGCAACTAGACAATAGTGCTTAGGTATTAACATCTAAGCTGATAAGTTTAAGTAAGAACATTAGAAACAGGTGTCTTCTGGAATGAGGTAAAGCTGATTTCACAAAAGAAACTCAGAGAACTTCTCTATAGGTGGTAATTGAATGCTGGGCAGCACCAACAAAAGGCCTAACTATACTGTCTCCAGACTAGAAATACCACCTATCGTCTGCAGGATAAAATCAAACTTCATTAGCTCAGTTTACATGATCCTTCAGAAGTTGGCCCAGATCACGACTTGACTCAGATCGGCATCCCGGCCCTCAACTCCAAGCACTGTAAACCAAAACATCTCTTCCTTCTCTTTCCTTTTTGCCTGGTGTCATCTTATATTTAATGCCAAAACCCAATCCTTCAAATCTTCCTCTGACACCAAGTCTTCAGTGAAGATTTTACCCAAAGCTTGAAACAATTGCTTCTAATTCTAGCCAACCCCTCTTCTGTGACCCCAAAGCAATTGTTACATTTCTCTTTATAAAATAAAAATGATAATAAATACAAAAATAGGTGTCTTCTGAAACCACTTTTTAAAAAGATTTAAAAGATATGGAATCCTTAACCTAAAAAGCAAATTAGAGATTTTAAAATCCAATTTTATAGATCTAAAAGTAAAAATACTGTTTCAGAGCTATAAATCCCTTTTTCCTAAAATCAAACTTTATTTGTATAGAAACACATACTATTATCAATAATATGTACACCTTTTTCCAATTAGAAATTATATATACTTGATGAGTAATTGTTTGAATAAAGTCCTCAAATTTTAAATGATCATCATTATTAATTTGGAATATACATACTTACCACAGACCATGATATGGACAAGCTTTGTACTTTTATACTGCTGTAATTGAAATAAAAATATGTACACATTTTTAAATTCATGTCAATTACAAATCTAACAGACTAAAATACATCTTTAAAGCAATGAATGCTTTGGTGAAAATGTGTCTATATAAGAAAGAGGGGGCCAGGCACAGTGGCTCACACCTGTAATCTCAGCACTTTGAGGGGCAGATGTGGGAGGATCACTTGAGCCCAGGAGTTCAAGACCAGCCTGGGCAACACACTGGGACCCCGTTTCTGAAAAAAAATTCAAAATTAGCCAGGTATGGTGGCAGGCACCTGTAGTCCCAACTACTCAGGAGGCTGAGGCGGGAGGATCACTTGAGCAGGCTGCAGTGAGTTGAGATCATGCCACTGCAGTCTAGCTGGGTGACAAAGCAAGACCTTGTCTCAGAAGAAAAAAAAAAAAAAAAGAAAAGAAAGAAGGGAAGATAAGGGGGATTTGTCTGAAAATAGCTGAAAAACATCTTTGGAAAGAGTTACAGTCATACTGCAAAGAAAATCACATGCAAGAATGTTTCTTATTAAATATTTAGATTACAGGCTCATGCCTGTAATCCCAGCACTTTGGGAGGCTGAGGCAGGCAGGTCACTTAAGTACAGGAGTTCAAGATCAGCCTGGGCAACATGGCAAAACTCTGTCTCTACAAAAAATATAAAAATTAGCCAGGTGTGGTGACATGCTCCTATAGTCTCAGGTATTTGGGAGGCGAGGGCAGGAGGATCACTTGAATCTAGGAGGCCGAGGCTGCAGTGAGCTGAGATTATACCTCTGTACTCCAGCCTAAGCAACAGAGTGAGACCCTGTCTCAAAAAATAAGTAAATAAATAAACATCTGCCCTAATTTCCTTTAGAATCCTTTACTTTTTAAATGATATGGGTAATACCATAAAGCAAAATCTCATCATATATTTTTATATATTAATAGTAAACTCTAAAGTCATTTATAGGTCTCATAGTTGCTTGGTTATATTTGTGGTTAAAGGAAATAGTAAAGCAGTAAATTCATAAAAATAAAATAAAATAAAAACCTATGGTTCCTTCTATCAGCTTCTTAAATTCTCATATTTTTGAAGAATAAGATGCTTTACTTCTGCATGATCATATCTAAGTGACTGCAGAATGAAGCATTTGTCAGCATGACAGGGAAGGCATAAATCCAGAACCTTAAGGCCAATGAATGTTACTGCCTATATAACTTGAATAGTTTGAGCAGTGATCTAGTGCATTTCTTGACTCATTCCTCCCTTCTTTGTCAAATTTAATAAAGTACTTTAACAGAAAGAAGACATCAATAATTCTTTATATATAATCCCTTTTTGTTATACATTCTTTTGTTAAAAAAATAGATTATTGGGACTTCTGCTCTAGATCCAAATAGTTCAAGAGGTTGAGAAGTTCTAGGATGGTATGAATCATTAAATCATGTTCGTTATGATCTTTTCTCAGCCAACACAGTCAGAATCAACTGTCTAATTCCATGTCCCATCCTATTCTTGGTGTCTACAATGTGGTTATGATAAAACCTATTCATTATAAAGAAACATAAAGAATAATAGGTTTGCATGCGCACTTATGCATAGGTGTATGGGTAAAAGAAATTCTTTTTTTTTTGCTTAGAGACAGGTTCTCGCTCTGTTGCTCAGGTTGGAGTGCAGTGGTGTGACCATGGCTCACTGCACCCTCCAGCTGCTGGGCTCAAGTGATCCTCTTACATCAGCCTCCCTGGTAGCTAGGACTACAGGCATATGCTACCATATCCGAACTCATTTTTTAAGGTTTTGTAGAGATGGAGTTTTGCTATGTTGCCCAGACCGGTCTCAAACTATTGGACTTAAGCAATCCTACCGCCTTGGCCTCCCAAAGTGTTGGGATTATAGGCATGAGCCACTGCATCTGGCAGAGTAACTTTTCAGCATTTGTTATGCCCATTTGCTAGGTCGCTGAGCACAGAACTAACTTCAATGAGTTGGAAGTATATAATAACCAAATTGAATTTTTTCCTAGCTTCACTTTAAAAGCATTTACTTTAGAAAGGCACTTTTTTCCCCCATATCATTACTTTAATTCTACTGCTAAATGTATGGAATGTTTATGCCTCTACAATGGAGAGCATGACGATGGGTTTCCTCTGCTAATACTCCATATGTAAGCAGTCAAAGAATAGGTATTTTTTGGACAGTACCAAATATTAGGGGTTGCCAGAGAGCAAAGCGTTGGAAGATGTCCATTTTCCTGTTGTTGAGATTGTCCTGCAGACAGGATACCGGGATCAAGCAGCTCAATCAGCTCCACATCCTCTTGTAACAGGACTTCCTGTTGCAGGATGGTATGCAATGAGTCGAGTCGGAATCCAATATCCTTGCCATTAAAATACCAGAAAAGAGGTATTAATACATATATAATATTGTATTAAATGCTAAGCTCCTAATGTACTAATAAAATTTAGTGGTGTTTATTTTCAGAAGATATTTCAAGAAGAAACAACAGTCGAATCTACCTTCAGTATGATAGATGGATTTTATTTTCTTTGGACATGTGAAACAATAAAGATTGAGGTAGACATTATTGAGCCATCAGATGTAAAATCTAAATTTTTAATACCAAGATGTAAAGTAATTACAGATTAACAAACTTGTCTAGTTAAGCCTAATTAATTAAATTGCTAGGGTACAACATGAAAATATAATCCTATAACATAAAAAATGCTGTTCCTGAAACTGTAACAATATAGCCAATATTTAAGAATTTTATTAGCAGGATCAAGGCCTCCTAAAAATAGATATTCAGATATTTAAAAATACATTATTAAGGAATGTAATATAAAATTACACTAATATTTGCATAGCACTTTATAGTTTACAAAATGCCTTCACATATACCAGCTCATTTATTCCTCCCTCTCTGCCTTCTGTTCATCTAGCAAGGAATATCTTCTATAAGCCAGGTACCATGCTTGACACTGAAGACACTAAATGAACAAGATATATAAGTCTCTGTCCCTAATGTCCCAAAAAGTAAACAGTTGCAATGTAACATGCAAAGGCGTGTGATGAAATACACCCAGAGTACTATGAAAATGGCATAAAGGGACCAAGCCTGTAATAAAGTCAGAGAAAGTAAAAGAGGTGAAGCCTGAGCTAAGTTTTAAAGGATGAACAAGAACTGACCAGACAAAGGAGTTCGAGAAGTGGGATGATACAGGATAAAAGCCTTTCTAATTTGAGGAAGTGTGAGTTGTCTGATATTAGATGATATTATTAATAGATTGTGTGCAGAGTATACATAGTAGAGAGGTGAGAGATGAGGTAGCACTGTTAGGGCAGACAGGTGAATTCTCATAGTAACCCTGTGATGTACCTTATCATTCTCCTCTCCATTATATATGGGAGAATGCCAAAGCCCAAAGAGATTAAGAATTTTGATTTCAAATCCTAAGCATTTGGTAGCTGTGTTTCCTTGTATATAGTCTGCCTCAAAAAAAATTTTTTAATTTTATTTTGTATTAAATTTAAACAAATAGAGGCTGGGTGCAGTGGCTCATGCCTGTAGTCCCAGCACTTTGAAAGGCCAAGGTGCGTGGATCACCTGAGGTCAGGAGTTCAAGACCAGCCTGGCCAATATGGTGAAACCCCATCTCCACTAAAACACAAAAATTAGCCAGGCGTGGTGGTGGTGGTAGTGGCATATGCCTACAATCCAAGCTACTTGGGAAGCTGAGGCAGGAGAATCTCTTGAACCCAGGAGGTAGAAGCTGCAGTGAGCCGAGATTTTGCCACTGCACTACAGCCTGCGTGACAGAGCAAGGCTTCATCTCAAAAACAAAAAAATTAGTACTAGAGTGATCCTATTATATGATCAAAATAAACAGAACAATGGACAAGCCCATTTGCAATTAAAGTAAGTCCCATTAGGTCTAGAGTGTGAAGACAACAGGTTTGCTCTTCTTAGTTAATTTAATCATTCCCACAGCACACATTCCGGCCCTAGCTGATCATAATGAGGACTTCAGTAAGAATGTGGTGAACCATAAATCAAACTGAGCCCATGACCGCTTGATCAGGGTTATATGCCACTTGTAGAGAAGATTTTCAATATTAGGTGCATTTAGATAGATTTTATTTATCTTCAGTCCAAAAAGAGACCATCTTCTCAATGGAATGTTGATCCTTCTTTTAGCCTGATGTGGCTTTTTTAAAAACAACCACTGACACACTCTGCATGTACCTCTGCAGCACTTTTATGTTGCATATTTGAACAACTGTCTCTTCTCTCTTCCTACAGTTCTGACTCTAACATTAGGAACCACTTAACTACTTGACATGCCACCCCACTTGCATAAAGCCAGGGCAACACAACTCACTTTATACTATTGTTCAGAGGGGAGAAAAAGGAGGGCAGGGAGATCAGGCACGGTAGCTTTTCAAGTAATCTCTGAAACCGATCTTACTACTTGGTTCCCCAATTAGACACAACCCATATTCAATGCAAGTATTAAAACTCAAACTTTTGCTACAAAAGCTTTAAACCATACCTTTTATGAGACTTCTATGTACCTATATAAGGTAAGTTTAATGAAGCCTAACTAGATGAAGGCTAAGGCTTACAGAGAGCGGAAAAGCCATTAGTATTCAATGGGAGCACTTTCTCTTCACAGAGATTCTGCTTAATCAGTTACTCAGTTTCTTCAACACCATGCCCTGGTATCAGACTCATGTGTAAAACTGGGGTAACACCTCCCCAAAACCAACCTGCTTAGAGGAAGTATTAAAATCATTAAGAATATCTGATTCAAGAATGTGACAAACCAGCCAGGTGCTGTGGTTCACCCCTAAGTGCTTAGGGGTTGCCAGGAAACAAGTGCTCAAATCCAATCCCAGCACTTTGGGAAGCTAAGGCAGACAGATATTTGAGGCCAGGACTTCGATACCAGCATGGCCAACATAGTGAAACCCCACGTCTACTAAAAATACAAAAATTAGCCAGGTGTGGTGACGTGTACCCGTAGTTCTAGCTACTTGTGAGGATGAAGCACAAGAATTGCTTGAGCCCGGGAGGTGGAGGTTGCAGTGAGCCAAGATGGTGCTACTGCACTCCAGTCTGGGCAATAGAGAAAAAAGAAAAAAAAAGAATGTGACCAATGAACAACCTACAATCATCTATGCATTCAAATAAACTGGAAAGGTACCAAAACACTCCAAATAACTAAAACAGTGTTATCTTAGTGATTAGATTGCCTCATACAGAGGAAAAATTTGAACTATATTCTGATTATTATAGCTGTTTAAATTGAATCAGATTAATGAATTAAGTTTCTTAAGGAAAAAATATTACTCTTTGATTTTAAAAATATGAACTGCAGTAAACATGTTAACTGTGTTACAATGTAACAATCAAACTACTAGAAAAATTGACACCTCAAATTAAGAAACATGTCATGACAGTTCTATTTGGACTGGGAGGTCCAGATCCAGGTCTCAAACAAATGAAGAAATTGAAAAGGTATTAATTGTGATCAACTAGCAGGTATCACCTGCATAGCTGGAAGTTCTATGCTCCTAGGAGGTATACTATGTAAACTTTGGCACATTTTCAACAAGTCTGAGTGCCAAGCTTTGTATCCTTGAGTGCCTAGCTTTATATCCTTGCTCCACAACTTAAGCACATTAATAAGCTCTCTGTGCCAGTTTCCTCTTCTGCAAAATGGTGATAATAACAGTACCGACATTATAGGGTTGTAATGAGGATTAATTAAGTCAGTATCTGTAAAATATCAAGAAGAGTGTTGGGCACATAGCACTGTGTGTTAGCTGTTACTGTTGTTACTAACTATGCAATAATTAATAAAGAAAAGCACATGTTGGATATAATACAATACAAAAACTTACAGAACACAACATAATTAATGCTAGATTGATGCAGAAAATAAGAGATACAATAGGCTGAAGTTTTAGGAGAGCTTTGAGAAAAAGCTAGGAGTGCTTATTGAAAAGATTCCAATGGATCAAGAACAAAAACAGAAAGAATTCCATCACAGTATAAGAGCACAAACATAGACATACAGAAAAAGTATGGAATAAAGGAAAATGAAGACTGGGTTCACTGATACAAAGCTGGAAAGATAGGTTAGGGCCAAATTATGCAGACTCTAGTGCTGAGGTGATGAATTTGGACTTGATTTGATTGATAAGATCTTTCTAGGATCTAAATAGGGATGTGGCATGAGAAAGTGCTTAGGAAATCCTTTCTGCCTGGAAGGAATGAAAGGGTATGAGAAGGCAGATAAAAAATTAAGAGATTTTGATTTCTTTTTCCTTAGAGATGAAGAAGGGAACTTATTCATGTGTCTGTATTCTTTAAAGATCTTACATACTTTGTAATATCACAGTGCTATTGATATAAGGATCAAATGAGATAACGTGTGAAAGCACTTTATAGGCTAAAAAGCACTTAAAAAGTGCTATTACCACTACCATCACCATTGCTATAAAGGAGTTTTTTTAATTCTTAAGAAAAGTACTATAAAAATGAACAATAGTAAAATGTTTGGATATCACAGAGCAATTGCTCATATTCTTATAAAACAAAAAAAGAGCCTGCTTCAATATCTGTATAGCTAACAACATTTTAAATATGTCATAATCAAGGGGAAAAAGTCAAGCAATCTCACACCAAAAGCCAACTTGGCAATTTCTTGTTCCATTACTAGTAAACTATTCCTTAGGTATGTATTCTTATAGTTCTCCATAATACAGGCAGAAAAGGGATGCATACAGAAGCTGGCACTTTACAGCGAAACATCACATGAAACATGTGGTCAGTGACACAGAACCAAGAATGAAAGACCAGGCCTAGGCAGACTATGACTTAATCACAGAAAAATGTATACGGATCCATATACCTTACCACAGTCCTAGTATCACTGAAGAATTAGATGGCTCCACCTGGATAAAAATGACATTCTATGTAGATGATAAGACAGTTCATTGACCTTCTCAATACACCTTCAACAAAGATGAAACCCTGAACAAAGAACTTGACAATTTGGATTGCTAAAAAAGTAATTTTAGTCAGTCAAAAAATAATAATTATTGAGCTAGAGAGGTGGTATGCTATAGCAGAAAGAGCAGATGCTTTGGAACCAAGAGACCTGGGTTCAGATTCTGGCTCTCTCACTTTCTAGCTCTATCACTTTCTAGCTGAACATTTTTAAACAATTCACTCAGTAAGTTATTAAAGCAAACTGAATTATCTGAACCCTGGTTTTCTCACTTGTGGAGTACACTAAATCTTACAGTTGTTTAGATTACCAAATCAAAATGTGAAAGCACTTTGTAAACAATCTCTTTACAAATGTTAATTTACAAGAATGATAATTCCTAAGGTAACAGGCCAGCAGAGATCCTGAAACCTACTTACTCGTAACTACATTACTCCTTCTGGGAGCCATGAGAACCACATAACTTGAATTTTTAAATTATACTCCCTGAATTTTGTATTGTTAGGATGTCAGAAGGTTGAAGTATTCTCCCTCTGGAGTTCTGTTAACAGCAGAAAGCAGAAAAACCAAAGCCTCAAAAAAATCACAAAGACCCTTGAGGTTAACTGTTTCGAGTCTTTGGAAAATTCTGTGATTTAACAGATTGAATTGATTCCACTAATGACATATCCCTTTACCTATGGAGAGGAATACCTGTCAATGAAGGAAGAGGGCAGTAGTAAATTAGCGATCTAACAAAGTTTAAATAACTATCAGAATATTCTATTCTGAGCGGCTAACAACCTCTTATAAAACTATCAACAATGCCAGTAAGCCCAAATTAAAAGACCCTGAGCAGAATCTCTAATATAAATCAATTACTGCCCAAATTGATAGTAAAGCAAATTCTGATTGACCAATTCTTTCACTAATAACCAAGAACCCTGAAAAGTGACAAAAAGAAGTGACCACTTACCAACTTGTGAAGTAAGTCATCTTTCTTATTGCACTGAGAAAAAAAAATCCAACTTTTGATGGTTTCAGCCACTTTTAACAGGATGCCTTGCTGAAGGAGATGAATGACATTGTATAGGATTATTAAAGCATACACAAACAGCAGAAATACTTCAAATTACTTACCTCCAATCAATCAGAATTTTTATCAGAAAAGGGAGAAAAAACTTGTCCAAGTTATATATTGTGTCAATATGTCTCAGCCTCCTTATTAGCTCCCAAATTTTGTTGCATATCAGAATCACCTGGAGATTTTAGTTAGAAACATATTCTTGGGCCCCCAAACTAAAATTCTGATTCAATAGATTTGGAATGAGGCCCGAAAATCCAATTTCTAAGGAGCAGGCAGAAGTCTTCCTGATGCAGCCCATTTATTCTGGAGACTATGAACTATCTATGTCAACATGACGATAATATTTATTTCAGAATGAAAAACCATAGGGTGGTTACAACTTCGGAAATATTAAGACCATTTCATTCCACAACTCTAAGTCAAAAAGATACTTGGATCATTTTAGAAAGACTGTAACATATTGAAATAAAACTTTACTATTGAATCAACCAAAAATTCAATTTACCTTAATAGCCCATTCCTTGAGCATGCCAGTAAGTGGAGTTTATATTCATTGAGAGATTAATATATCCCAGGTACTGCAAAGGGTCATGGGAAAAAAGATAAATACATGTAACTGATGTTTTTCAAGAACTTAGTATAGAAGAAGAGACAATATAAAGAATTACAAATCAATGTAAAGTCTGAAAAAGTGTAAGAGGAAGTCAGAGAGGAGAAAACACTGGGGTTGAGCCCTAACAGATGAGTAGAAATTCAACAAAGAAGAAAAGAATGGGCCGAGTGCAGTGGATCACACCTGTAATCCCAGCACTTTGGGAGGCCAAGGCAGGTGAATCACCTGAGGTTGTGAGTTCGAAACCAGCCTGACCAACCTGGAGAAATCCTGTCTCAATTATAAATTAAAAATTAGCCAGGGGTGGTGGCTCATGCCTATAATCCCAGCTACTCAGGAGGCTAAGGCAGGAGAATCGCTTGAATTCAGGAGGTGGAGGTTGTGGTGAGCCGAGATCACCATTGCACTTCAGCCTGAGCAACAAGAGCAAAACAGCGTCTCAAAAAAAAAAAAGAAGGCAAGAACACTTCAGTCAAGGGAAGAGGATGAAGGAAAGAGTCATGAAAGCACATGGCATGGGATGGCGGCATAGTCCAGGACAGTTAGGACCCAAGAGAAGATGGAATTAGTAAGGAAGTTAAAATGGTACACGGAGATAGGTTTTAAAGGATCTTAGTTTTATATACCATAATTATATGAACATTATTCTGTACATTGTGAGGAGTTACCAAAGATTTTTATGCAAGAAAGCGAAACAATACAGAAAAATAACTGGCAATAGTGCGGAGGCTATACTGGCAGGTAATGATTGTAGACAAGAAGCATGATTAAGAGGATATTTAAGACTGGGCACCATGGCTCACCCCTGTAATCCCGCACTTTGAGAGGCTGAGGCAGATGGATCACGGGGTCAGAAGTTTGAGCCCAGCCTTGCCAACAGAGTGAAAAGCTGTCTCTACTAAAAATACAAAAAATTAGCCAGGCATGGTGGCGGGCACCTGTAATCCCAGCTACTAGGGAGGCTGAGGCAGCAGAATCTCTTGAACTGGGGAGGCAGAGGTTGCAGTGAGCCAACATTGTGCCATTCAGCCCAGGTGACAGTGTGAGGCTCTGTCTGAAAAAAAGAAGACGATGTTTAATAACCCAGCTAAATAACAATAAAGGCCTTTAAATTAGGTAGTGAGTACAAAAAGGATCATGAATCAGATTTAAGAGACATAGAAGCTGACTTGATGTATCACTTGATGACCAAAGCTATGCCATGCAATTGGAAATGGTACAGCAACTGAGAGGGTAGTGATTCGGGACTATTAAAAAGAACATTTTTTGTTTGTTTTGAGGGTATCTGAGGTAAGTCCTATTTTAGACAAGTTGAATCTGAGCTCTGTGGGGCACATGCAGATGAAAATGTCTAACAAGCATCTGGAACTCAGCAAAGCCTGGAGAATGGACATCAGTGGCAAGAAAGTATATGAGATTACCAGGGAAGATACCAAGCCAGTAAGAAGCCAGTTGCTAAAACTCTATGGAATGAATTTAAGAATAATCACAGGAAAAGACACCAGAAAAAGAGACAGAATGAGTATTTATGTTAAGAATACCAGGGCAGACTACTTAACAACTACTAACAATCATATGCAAAAATAAAGTTAAAAAAGAGAGGGCAATTAATGCTAAGGATGGTTTCATTAAGAACTCATAGAAAAATGGCTTTTCAAAGGAAATAATTGATATGTCATTCCTTGAACAGAATTTTGGGAGCAATTCTAAACATATATTCCCTGACAATGAGCTAAACAATACCACAACTTTCTAAAATTTAGCTGTCCTCAAATTTAGAAAAAAATTGGCCAGGCACAGTGGCTCATGCCTGTAATCCCAGCACTCTGGGAAGCTGAAGCAGATGGATCACTTGAGGTCAGGAGTTCAAGACCATCCTGGCCAACATGGTAAAACCTCATCTCTACTAAAAATAGAAAAAAGATAAGGGCTTGGTGGCCTGTGCCTGTAATCCCAGCAACTTAGGAGGCTGAGGCAGGATAATCACTTGAACCCAGGAGGTGGAGACTGCAGTGAGCTGAGATCGTGCTATTGCACTCAAGCCTGGGCAACAGAGTGAGACTCCATCTCAACAAAAAAAAAAAAAAAGGAAAAAAATTCTTTTTAGAAAAATACAGATCCTACAGTTTAAAAGATTGTCTTAGAAATGTGCAATAGGGTTGGGTGCAGTGGCTCACACCTATAATCCCAGCACTTTGAAGGGCTAAGAGAAGAGGATTGCTTGAAGCCAGGAGATTGAGACCAACCTGGGGAACACAGTGAGTGGCAATTTTTAAATCTCTACAAAAAAGAAAATTAGCTGGGCATGGTGGCACATGTTCGTGGTCCCAGGTACTTGGGAGGTGGAGGCGGGAGGATCACTTGAGCCCAAGAAGTGAAGGCTGCAGTGAATTGTGATCCACGACTGCACTCCATCCTGGGTGACAGAGGAAGACCCTGTCTCTAATAAATAAATATACAAACAAACAAATAAACAGGCCAGGTGAGGTGGCTCACACCTGTAATTCCAGAACTTTGGGAGGCCAAGGCAGGTGGATCAAAAGGTCAAGAGATTGAGACCATCCTGGCCAACATGGTGAAACCCCATCTCTACTAAAAAATATAAAAATTAGCTGGGCATGGTGGTACGCACCTGTAGTCCCAGATACTCAGGAGGTTGAGTTATGAGAATCTCTTGAACCCAAGAGGCAGAGATTGCAGTGAGCCAAGATTGTGCCACTGCACTCCAGCCTGGTGACAGAGTGAGACTCTGTCTCAAATAAATAAATAAATAAATGTGTAATATGAAGACAAAACAAACTTTCGAGACATAAGATAATTTTTTTGAGATGGGGTCTTGCTATGTTGCCCAGCTGGTCTTCAACACCTGGGCTCAAGTGGTCCTCCTGCCTTGGCCTCCAAAAGTGCTGGGATTACAGACATGAGCCATTGCGCCTGGCCTGTTAATTTTTTAAAACATCCTCTGACAATGTTTTGTTGTTGTTGTTGTTTTTTAATGGTGTGACTATATTTTTATCATTCTTCAATTTCTAAGGGGATTCAATTTTAAACTCTCACTTGATTTATTTATAAAGTAGTGATATTTCTATATACAAAAATACTTGTCATAAATGACAATAATACCTATAAAACCCAAGTTTGTATCAAAACAAAACAAAATCTTAGAGGTTAATGACCATCTGCTGTTCTAAGACTACCCCATAGCCATTCTTTGTTTTGTGTTGCCAAGTAACCTCGAATCCAGGCTTATTAAATAGCCAAGCCTATTTTATGTATCTAATAGGTTTTGCTTTCAAACCCTTTCCCAGGAACATTCATACTTAAAAGTGGTACAGGGAAGAAATGGTATAAATGGAGGACTAGGAAAACTGATTCTGATCCATGTGATTTCTAACTCTAACTCTTACCTCCTGGGTGTTAGTCAAAAAAATCTCAAGTGTTTACTTAGCTGTTGTAAATAGGCAGGCTTGGTTACCTCACATATTAGGTATTTTTATAAGAAGATTGGGGAAAGGCTCCTTCTGCCAATCCATGCTTCCCTGCCTATCACAGTGGAGTAAATGACTAATTGAAAGCTTTAAATGTTCTTCTCAATAGTGATACAACACTGATTAAACTAGAATGCTCAAGGAATGAGGAAATCTGGTTTATATTTTTTCTATTAAATTATAATTTTTTTAGTTAAAATTAAAATGTACTAGAAATGCACACAGAGGTTAAGAACATAAACTCTGGACATAAACTGCAGGTTCTAATCCCAGCTCTACCTTTTATAAGCTAAGTAACCTACAGTAATTTATAATCCTCCTGTGCTTCAGCTGTCTCATCTAAAAATAGAGTAAATTTTTTTCTTTTTTTGTTTTTTTTTTTTGAGACAGAATTTCGCTCTTGTTGCCCAGGCTGGAATGTAATGGCATGATCTCAGCTCACTGCCATCTCCGCCTCCCAGGTTCAAGTGATTCTCCCACCTGAGCCTCCAAGTAGCTGGGATTACAGGCACCTGCCACCACGCCCAGCTAATTTTTGTACTTTTAGTAGTGACGGGGTTTCACCATGTTGGCCAGACTGGTCTCTAACTCTTGACCTCAGGCAATCCACCTGCCTCGGCCTCTCAAAGTATTGGGATTACAGGCGTGAGCTACTGCGCCTGGCCTGTAAATTTCTTATTTTAGTAAACATGGCTTGCAGAACATAAATATATCTAGAAAATGCATTTTATAGAACATAACTAATGGAGATTTTTCTAGTATCTCAGCCTGACAATGCTGGACATCGACTATGAGATAGTTACTGTATAAAAGCACCTAATTCTATAGATAAAAAAGCACCAGAAGTTATATTCACTCCATTATGTACCCCTGAAACTATGTTTAAGAAATATCAATTTGCTTTCTTGTAATTCATGCTGTTTTTAAAAAAAATGATTTAAAGTGAAAAAATCCAGTTAGAGGATTCCTATTAGTTGTGCTCTCATTAAAGTTTTAGTGTATTTTTCCAGTTTCACTTGGATAGCATCAATGTTTAAACAAATAATATATTTTAATTCTTTACCAAATTAAATTTCCTCACTGGATATAAATCACCTACAAAATATTCCAAAGCAGTAAAGATTCATGTTTATCTAAACAGAAAGTGTTGTACTATTGATGAAATAAATAGTCTTAGGCAGTATAAGGAAGGACATGGAAGTGCTTAAGAAGTATCTGAATAGCCAATAAGGGAAAGTGGAAGAGATTCAGCCGTAAAGAATGAGCACGCTTTCTTACTTTTGGCAGGACTCTTGTAGGAGGCTTTTGTTGTCCCTCTGTTGTGCATTTTTCTGTTTTTGGTGACAAGGAAGAACATATTTCAAAGTCCGTATGTCCCAGATCTTGCAAGTATTGGTAAAGTGGAGAATTCTGAAAAAGACATAAAACAAAGCAAATTTCAAGATCATTACTATTTCAAAAGTTTCAGAGGCCAAACTCAATATGACTTCACTATTGTGACTATTACATCCAAATTCTTTAAAGCTTCTTCTATAAGAACTGAATTACCTGTTACAATACAATGCCATTTAACACAAACAAATCAACAAACAATTCAACAGAGGAATCCCAAAAAAGAAAAGCTCAAAATAAAACACACAGATTTTTTTTTAGTGAGTACCAGCAAGAAAAGATGAATTTAAAAATATAAATAGATTGTGAAGTAATTTCATTGCCCAAATTTTTATAGTCTTAGACTGCTTCAAAATAGCCAGTGTTATAGTTTATAAGACAATGTAATTACTCACAGCCAAGAAGAATCAAACAATGATTACATTGTATGAATTATAATTTTATAATCTCATCATATGCCTTAATGCATTCAAGCACAAATATGTATTCTCTACCATATGCTCAGCACAGTGAACAAACTTAAAACTCTTCAAGAAAGTTACCTTAGATAAGCTATATCTCACATACAAGCATATGGCAAATAGGACAGAGTATGGCTAACAAAAGCATTAGAACACAGACAGTAAGAATACAATCTGCTGGGCACAGTGGCTCACACCTATTATCTCCGCACTTTGGGAGGCTGAATGGAATGGATCATCTGAGGTCAGGAGTTTGAGACTAACACGGTGAAACCCTGCCTCTACTAAAAATACAAAAATTAGCCAGGTGTGGTGGCATGTGCCTGTAATCCCAGCTACTTGGGAGGCTGAGGCAGGAGAATTGCTTGAATCCAGGAGACGGAGGTTGTAGTGAGCCGAGATTGCACCACTGCCCTCCAGCCTAGGCGACAAGAGCAAAACTCCAGCTAAAAAAAAAAAAAAAAAAAATACAGTCTAAGGTTCAAATCCCAACTATGCCTCTTACTAGTTTAATAACCAGGCAATTTATAATCCTTATGTGCATCAGCTGTCTCATCAAAAAATAGCAGTAACAGCAATTAGTTCATAGAGTTCTTATGAAAACTAAATTAATATAAAGCACCTGGAACAGTCCTTGGCACATAGTAACCATTCCATTTATACTTTTAACTATATATAAGCTGTGTGGAAAGAGCACAGAGTTTTGGAACAGACAAAAAAAAAAGTCACCCCAAGCCTTTCAGACAGAAATGTCAGTGTCACTACTGGATGAAAATCTACTGGACAACTATCTCTGGATAAACAGCATGCTTTAATTTAACTTTCAACCTTCTCTAAAGCATACAGATGGTGACATTTAAAAAAATAAATCTTAATTCCATTCAAAGAAATATTTAAATCTCCAAAATGACTGTTTATTAGTTTTTAGAGATAAAACAACAGGAAAAAATAAAAAGGAGCAACCCAGTTAAAGTACTACGAGGCAAAATCTTAACTTACTATTTTACTTTCATCTTCTCAGTTAACAACAAACAATAAAAGGTATTATTATCAGCATTAACATTATTATTTTTATTCCACTTCCACAGATGAGAAAACAGGTTCACTCAGCTAGAGAAAGCAGGATTTTACTATACTACCTAAAATAAGAAAGAGCCCCTTCCATATCTGGTGAGGAAGACACCAAAAAGTTACTTATAGTTCAGTACAAATACACCAAGCAAGTTAACAATGTCAGGGAAGTATTTGGATACTATGGAAACAGGAGAGACAGCTAAGATAGAGCCAGACATTTAGGGAATATATTCTTGCATTCAGAAGAATAAGGAAGAGTGGAAATCTGCTGGACTAGTAGCAATTTATGGGATATCAATTTGAGAGAACAGGAATTGAGTCAAATGCCTTTCTTTTAAGCTACGTTTAATTTCTTTTTTTAAGAAAAATATTCGTGAGGCTTAAAAAAAAAGAAAAATATTTTTTTAAAAAAGTAATATAAGGAGGAATATGTTTCTTAACCCTCTGTCAGATTTAAAACTTCTGGCAGCACAAATAGTTAATCTCGATATCACCCATAACGTATATTCAAATACAGCCTTGAATTACTGAATCTGTATTTACAAACTGAACTGTGAACTCCACTCTGCTCTTGCCCCAGTGGGGGTAAAAGAATAAGAATGCCAGTTCATTTGTTTGGGCCGACCTTACATACTTAAAAAAAAAAACAACAAAAACCCTTGTTTTTAAGGCAGTAGAACCCTTTCTTCACATGAACTCCCATGGGGAAGAACAATAAATAAGATGGATCAAAGGGAAGTTTTTCTAACTCTGGGTGAGCAGCCTTTTTCAGTAAAAGGCAGGATAGTAAATATTTTAGACTCTGCAGGCCATATGGTCTCTGTCACAACTAATCAAGTCTGCTGCTGTAGTGAGAAAGCAGACACAGCCAATGCATAAACTAATGAGTATGGCTATGTCCCAATAAAACTTTACTTATGGACACTAAAATTTGAACTTCATATAATTTTCATATGTAACAAAACATTCTTTTGATATTGTCCCTAGCCGTTTAAAAACATTTTAAAAACCTGCCATATATGGGGTGCAAATCTGGCCCGATAATCTTAATTTCTTGACTCCTGTTCTTTTTCTTTGTTTCCTTTTTCTGAGATAGGGTCTCACTGTTTTGTCCAGGCTGGCCTAGAATTCCTGGGCTCAAGCTATCCTCCAGCGTCAGCCTCTTGAGTAGCTGGGACTACAGGTGCCAGCCACTGTGCCTTCCTCTTCTAATAAAAGTTTCAATCAAAACCAGGAGACACACTCTTGACTGCTAACTGTTCTCTGGGAAGAGACTTAGAGAGTTGGGATGAGTACAAACGTTTCATTCAAATTATAATGCCCTTTTCCACTGTACACATAACTGATACTCTTCTCATCACTGACCCACAAACTTTTTATTCAAATTATAATGCCCTTTTTTTACTGTACACATAACCGCTACTCTTCTCATCACTGACCCCAACATCCCTTCCTTTTCCACTTTTCCACTGAATCCTGCTTCTGGATTCAATGTGTTGCAATTTATTGTTTTGGGTAAAGTATACAGAAAAATCAAGCCTTACACAAATAATATAATTGGAAAGGAAGAAATATTTTAACAGTCTTTTCTGATCATTGTAAGTATCAAAGAAGAATAGCCATACCAAAACAACAAGCAATAATTTCAAATAGCTAAGTGGTAATGTAGAATATGCAACCATCTGATGAGCTTTTTGTACTCTGTATATACACATGAGAATGAGAGTAAAAAAAGGCAAAGGATGTCTTAGTATTAGAACTTGACCACTCAACATAAAAGATCATTTATTTTGACTTTTTTTTCTCTTACAGCAAGGGGAGGCTCCCTATTGCAACTGTTGTAACTACTGTATTTAGAGTTTTGGGATATTAAACTAATACACTAATAAATACAGGGAAATTTTTATTTTTCATAAAGCGAGCATTAGATGGTAGCTTTACAAAAGGGTGTTTTTGTGTGGAGGGTAAGGCAGAGTAGGTAGTTGTCTCTATTATGACTTTTCCTTGGTTCAAGCAAAATAAAACCGCAAATGTTTTATTTAAGTTGTTTTTTGGAAGAGAAATAATTAACACTGGACTCAAACTATAATTTTGAAGTATCAGAGAATGTTACTGATGCCAAAAGAAATACAAGAAACCTCAGACATAGCATGTGGGTGCTCCTCAGGACATCTTTGTGGTTCACTATTCCTGTAAGTTTTAGCTGTCAGAAAACACATACCATAACACCAGAAAGAATTTTGCTAAATGAAAAGTAGCCAAGAGCCTTTGGTTGCACTAAAATTGTTCTTGTGGCTGAACATTTTTGCAATAAAAGTAAACAAAAATAGACAGGAAAACCCCAAATTTTTGCTGAAGAAAGCTCTTCAAGAAAATGTCTCATCCAAGTCCTGCACTACAGGCACTTCTTGCCAGTCCTACTCCCTGTGGGCCCCACATAAAGATAACAGATCTGGCTGGGTGCGGTGGCTCATGCCTGTAATTCCAGCACTTTGGGAGGCTGAGGCGGGTGGATCACCTGAGGTCAGAAGTTCGAGACCTGCCTGGCCAACATGGTGAAACCTTGTCTCTACTAAAAAAAACAAAAATTAGCCGGGTGTGGTGGTACATGTCTGTAATCCCAGCTACTTGGGAGGCTGAGGCAAGAGAATTGCTTGAACCTGGGAGGTAGAGGTTGCAGTGAGCTGAGATCGCACTATTGCACACCAACCTGGGTGACAGGGCCAGATCCTCTCTCAAAAAAGAAAAAAAAGGAGGCAAGAAGGTTGTGAAAAACTAAAGAGACATAACACCCAAATGTAACATATGGACCTTGTCTTGGATCCTGCTTGGAACAACCATGAGAAGGCATTTCTTGTTGTTACCCAAGCTGGGTACAGTGGTGTGCATGGCTCACTGCAGCCTCAAACTGCTGGGCTTGAGGGATCCTCCCACCTCAGCCTCCTGTGTAGCTAGTACTACAGGTATGTGCTACCACATCCGGATAATTGTTTTTTTTTTTTGTTTTGTTTTGTTTTTTAAGAGACAGAGTCTCACTATGTTCCCCAGGCTGGTCTCCAACCCCTGGGCTCAGGTGATCCTCCTGCCTCAGCCTGCCAAACAATGGGATTATGGGTGGTAAGCCACTGTGACTGGCCAGGGTTATCTTGGAAAAGAAAAAAAGGAGTTCTTAGTCTGCTTTGTGTTACTATAATAGAATACTGATACTGCCTGTTTTATGAAGAAGCTTACTTAGCTCACAGTTCTGCAGGCTGGGAAGTTCAAGAGCATGACACTGGCTTCTGGCAAGGGCTCTGCTGCCTAGATATAATATGGTAGAAGGTCAAAAGGGGAGTAGATATGTGCAAGGGGTGCAAGCACTAAGAATGTCCATGCTTTATAACAACCTGCTCTTTCAGGAACTAATTAATTCCCAAGAGAACTAATTCAGTTTTAAGAGAGCAATAACGCACTCACTATTGTGATAATGGCACCAAGCCATCC